GAATAGAACATGCGTCGAACTATTTACAGCAAACTAATTTACACGTACAGCTCAAAGTCGATTCCCACAGCTGGATAGAGTAGGGTAGTTTCTGACCTCCATTTCTACTTTTCCAAAATATACCAATAATCTCTTATTCCTCCTCTTTGACTTCAAATATGGAGTTTCTGGAAAAATAATCCCAAGCTCTATCATTATAATTACTCCATTTCAGCAGATTTAATATTTTTCCACATTTGTGCATTAAAGAAGCTGCTTTAACAGATCGGTTTTAGTTTGCAGAAGGTGAAACATAATTTGACCTAAAACTAACCCACTCACCCACAGATCCCAGCTGGACCGATCGCAGTATCTAAACCCTTATATACAACTTGTGCTAGAAAGTCTATACATCCTCGCCAGTTTTTAAAAACGTATATTTTCTCCTCTTACCATCAATCACAACCGGTTGAAAAAAAATGATACAGTAATGTTATCTATATGACAGTCTGGCTGCACGCACACCCACGCTCTCCAAATTCAACAAGCGCAACAAACCAAAAGTAGGTAAAATATATAAAGTGCACCCTTAGTTCAGAATGTAAGACGCATTCTTAAAGCAGAACTGGCTGGAAAAGAATAGAAATAAAAAAAAAGCAGAAGGGGGGGTGTAACTACTAGGGGGTGGTGGAGGAAAAGCATTTGCTTGCTTGTCGCCGTTGAGCACAAACCCGTCATTAGGTCAAGGGAGGGACAGAACCAAGCTTCAATGACTTTATGTATAACCAGTGATCCTAACTGGTTATTAATGATCAACCAAGAAGTTTTATTGCAGTCAGAGCTGATTTTTTTTTCTGTTTTACAAACTACAGAAAAGTATGGGGATCAATAACCTGTTAAAAGTCGGAGACAAGGAGAAATCTGTTCAAAACATTTAGACTTATGTCACAAAAATCAAACTGATTAGTTGGAGGGGAAATAGAAACTAAATAAAAGCTGTAATATCCTGGTGCCATAAGCGTGTGCACCCCACTGCAAAAACAATCTAGAAATAAGTAAAGATTTCTTAAATTAAGTGTATTTACCCTTAATTTGAGTAGATAAGTAAGAGGATTTTCCAATGGAATGAGTATTTTTACTCTTAAAATAAGATAATTAGATAAAATTCACTTGAAATAAGAAAATGCAATAGTTTTTTTTCTTATTTTAAATGTAAATTGTCTTGTTACATTGGCAAAGTGTCTCACTTACCTCCTCAATTCAAGAAAAAATGCACTTATTTTAAGAAAAATTGACTTAAGATTAACATTTTTTGCAGATACTTCCCTGGAATATCTGCTTCAGTTTGCAAAACTCACTGCAGCTGAGTTCATTTATTCTAAATGTGTTTAACCCTTTATAGGGAAAGTTATCGTTTTTGATGACTTGCATCCTCCTTACAAATGGATCCCCCCCACCCGTCTACATGGTTGTACAACTTATTTTGGCATTTGAACCAATTAGATGAATGTAAATTAATTTACCTGCTGTAAATTAAGTTAAAAAAATAAGTTAACAATTCAAGAAAAAAAGGTAAGAAGCTAATTGAAAAGTTGAAAAGTTAATAAGCCTAGTTAACAATTATGTTCAGGTCAGGCCACTATCAGCATTAATGTCTGTAAGGTTATGGTGTATCAAAAAGAAAAATGTGTTTCTTTTATTCTGAGTGTTTTTCATATATTTCTTATAGAAGTATAATAAATTTAATTGCACTGTACTTGTGACAGTGTGAAAAAAAAAAGATATAAAGAGGTTAAAGATGATCTTCATACACCTGGGAGATTTAGATTCAAAATAATTTGCCTTCCAACCAAAATGAAATATTTGTTTACTTTTATTTATATTTTATTACAAAACAGAAATGCTATTTAGACCCTTCAAAATAACCGTTACTACACTTCCTGATACGTATAACATTAAGTTCCTTTGTATATATTTGACCATCTTATTCTAAGTTTCTGTTGTATTTTGATGGTTTATATCTCTCTAATCTTTAGTTAAATCTATCGATGTTTTAGCATTCGAGATTTTGGCTGAGGTGCTCTAAAATATTAATACTTTCAGTTAAAAACAGGATTAAATAGGGACAAATCGATTGTCAAAAAATCAAATCCTCTTGCCTCGGGTGGAGGACTGAGGATTTGCACAAGAAAATGAGAAAAATTAAAGTTAGTAAAAATCAAAGGATGGCTTTAACCGTCAGTCTGCCAGGGGTATGAAGGGAATGTCCCATAAGTCCTTCCAAAGAAACACCAAGGCCTGGACTGGATAAATAATCTAGAAATAAGTAGGAATTTCTTAAATTTAGTCTATTTACGCTTATTTTGAGTAGGTAAATGAGATGATTTGCCAACTAAATGAGTATTTTTACTCTTAAAATAAGATATTTAGATAAAATGCACTTGAAATAAGACAACGCAACTGCGTTTTCTTCTTTAACACTGCAAAAATGATCTCAAAATTAGTAAAAATGTCTTAAATTAAGGGTATTTACCCTTAATTTGAACAGGTAAATAAGATGATTTGCCAATGGAATTAGTGTTTTTACTCTCAAAATAAGCTATATAGATATTTTGCACTTGAAATAAGACAATGCAATTGTTTTTTTCTTGTTTTAAGTGTAAATTGTCTTGTTCCATTGGCAAAGTGTCTCACTTAAATCCTTAATTAAAGAAAAAATGCACTTATTTTAAGAAAAAATGACTTATTTAGATTTCATTTTTTGCAGTGTAAATGTAACTTGTCAGGTTCCATTGGCAAAAAATGCCTTTTACCTGCTCAATTCAAGAACAAATGCGCTTATTTTAAGAAAAAATGACCTATCTAGATTTAAAACCTATTCAGGATTTATGCTACTTCATCTTTTTGTCCACAATCTGTGATGTGGGATTGTGTTTCTTTAGAGGGAACTGGGTTTCTTTTTGTAAAGATAAAAATATCAACCCGCCAAAATAAAAGCTGGTTGGGGTGCTGCTCTGGTGTGGAGGTAGAGCGAGTGACTCATACACCGGCTGTCGCAGGTTTGATTCCCGGTCCTGCTGACCTGCTGAATGTCTCTCCCCTCTTTTGTAACTTTCCTGTCTACATACTTTCAAAAATACCAAAATAAAGGCCAAAATAAAAGCTTGTTCAAACCCTAAATCTTTAGATATTTGGTAGAAAGCTGGAGATAAGTACTTATTTTTAGCATCACAATCAATCAAACACTGGAAAAGGATCTAAAAATAAGTAGAAATGTCTTAAATTAAGTGTATTTACCCTTAATTTGAGTAGGTAAATGAGATAGTTTGCCAATGGAATGAGTATTTTTGCTCTTAAAATAAGAAAATTAGATAAAATGCACCTGAAATAAGACAATGCAATTGTGTTTTCTTATTGTAAGTGTGAATTGTCTTGTTCCATTGGCAAAAAATTTCTTTTACCTACTAAATCCAAGAACAAATACACTTATTTTAAGAAAAAACAACTTATCTAGATTTCGATTTTTTTCCAGCGAAGCTATCAAAGAAATAAACTTTCTGGCCAGACTCCAGAACCGCGTAAAAGAGACGTCCAAAATCTGCCAGAACGTTCAGAAATGGGCGATACCAAGATGACTTAACTGATTAAAAAAAGTATAACTCTAGGGTCTACTGGAAAAACGATCTAGAAATGAATAAAAATTTCTTAAATTAAGTGTATTTACCCTTAATTTGAGTAGGTAAATGAGATAGTTTGCCAATGGAATGAGTATTTTTAGTCTTAAAATAAGATAATTAGATAATATGCACTTGAAATAAGACAATGGAATTGTGTTTTCTTATTTTAAGTGTAAATTGTCCTGTTCCATTGGAAAAATGTCTCTTTTACCTCCTTAATCCAAGAACAAATGCACTTATTTTAAAAAAAATGACTTATTTAGATTTCAATTTTTCCCAGTGACATGTGTAACCAGGTTATTAAACTTTTCTTAGTTTTCATAATTTCCCTCCAAAAGATTTTGTTTTGTTGATTTATGCAAGATGCCAGTAAGAACGTTCAAATGTTTAAAAAAAATCCATGTGACAAAATTTACCCTGACATTAAAAAGACTGTCTTTAATTTCTTTTTTTATTTATTTACTAATTATGCAGAGATTTTAAATATGTTCTTTGATCATTTTAGTAACCGTTAATGAATTTATTAAAAAATGATCAATGTTTGGGTGAATACTGATCATCCTTTTTATTTATTTTTATTTATGTCTGAATAAAAATAAATACTTAAAACTGGAACTGTCTCTAACTGATCATTTTAGGACCTTCCAAAGAGATTAAATTCATATTTTTAAAACAAAATGTCTGTAGTTTAATAAAGCTGCATGTTTTCTTTTAAAAATATTGACGTATCAAAGCTTGTCTGTACCTTATTTCTCCACATTGGTTCGTTTTTCCACGTCCACGTGACTAGCAGTGTGACACAGTAGCAGGGCTAACAGAATAACATCTTAAAATGCAAACTATTCTTTGATTTATTTTCTATGTACAATATATAACTTAATTATAAATATTGTCATTTTTCTCTAAGCACTGAGTCGTAGAGCCTTTTCGCTTTTTCGGCAATGTACAGTATTGAACAGATAATATTGTAGTACATAGAATATAGCCTACACAGCAACCTTGGTTAAGAGCACACTTTGAAAGAACTGAAGATGAGCAGAGAGTCTGATGAGGAGCACGCTCACTCTTCCAGTCCCATCTGGGCCGGTCACTTGTGGTCGCTTTGTGCCACCAAGCCTTGGAAATGCATCGGTCAAAGAAAGAGATGAGAACCGAGACGCTTTCTGTCGATCAGCCTGTGTGCAGTTTATGAAGATGAAATGATCACTTTAGTATCAGTCAGCTTTTTTTCAGATAGGATTGCGTCTAAAAGCCTAAATGCGGTTTCCTCCCTTTGACTGGAGTTGTCTCTTATGAGTTCTTCTGTTTTTCCATGACACATACACAGATCACATGTCACATTTGTTTTTTGTTTTTTAGATGAATATTTTTCCAACCTCTCTTCTGCTGACGCACCAAGTCCAAACTGTCCACTCACACGTTCGACTCCACAAATGGTCTCTTTGGTTTGATGGGGGAGCTGGGGCCTTGGGTCCGGGAGTCACGTGACAGCTGGCGGTACATGTTGTCCTGGTAGGCCTGTGCCACTGGCAGAGTCCTCGCCACCTTCACGTCGGGGTAGGTGGGCACCTGGCTGACCCGTTCCAGGATATCGCCGCTGCCACGAGAGCCGTTGGTCAACTTTCCCAGTGAGGAGGGCTGAGGCTGGGAGTAGTAGTCCTCCTCCAGAAGGTGCCCGTTTTGGGCGTTGTTGGTCTTGTTGTAGTAGGCGATGTTGCCAAGAGATGCCGGGGGACTGTAGGTGGAGCCCTGCTGGACTAGCTGCCCGGGGGAGGTGGGACTAATAGCAGCATCCATGGAGGTCATGGGCCTGGACCGTCCAGGCTGATGCAGGTACTGTTGAGTCCGAGCGGTCTTGTCAATGATCCCCATGAAAGGCGTATTCCTGGACCGAGTGGTTTCGCCTTGATACAGACCGCCGCTCTGGGAAGGGGAGATCGGGGATATGTCGTCACAGGCTCGCTCGTACGTCGCTTGTAAGGGTATCTCCATCTGCTGGATGGATGCGGAGGGCCTGAAGGCCTGGGCTAGGTTGGAAGTGGATCCGGCTGAGATGTTGTTGCTAGAGGGAGAGAATCGCAGGCCTACACTCTGAGAATGGATGAGAGGCCTGGGGGTGGGCACGTGCTGTTTCATCTCGGTAGTATTGGCACTCACGGGGCGTCTCACCATGTGGGGGTTCTCAGGAGAGCCCAGTTGACAGGGAGGCATAGCGTTGGCACGCTCCAGTACGTGTTCAGAGACTGGGTAGTAGGCAGCAGACTGGCTGCGGCTTATCTGAGGTGTCTGGCTGTAGCGGATGCCACCCGGGCCCCCGCTGCTGGCGCGGTAGGCAGAGGAGGGGCGCTGGGGTAGCTCCTCTTTCAACAGGTTTGACTCCATGACCCCTCCTCGGCCACCGTGCTGACAGAGGGCCCCAGAGCTGTGGCTAGCCTGAACCTGGGGCATGGACCGTCCGTCTAGGGACGGCTGGTACACCAGGCGGCTCTCCACGTCCACTGAGCCCCCCTGATAGCGACCACCGATGGAGTGGCCCATCGGACCACTAAAGCTGTTGCCCAAGACGTTGGGCTGGTTTGTGCGGACGATTTGGGCGATAGAGGGTTGGAGGCGGAGGCCTTGGGCTTGGTGATGCTGAGAGGATAGAGACGCTTGTGAGGTCAGCTGGAATGAGCGCTGGCTGCTCATCTTGGAAAGGGGGGATTTGGGTCGGCCGGGTAGCTGCTCTGTCTGGTAACGCACAGGAGACCCAGACTGGGACCTGTACAAGCAAACGCTCTCTAAAGGTGGACTAGCTCTGTACTGAGCGGCCCGACGTAACGGGGAAGGCGGAGGGCTCTGGTGATCCATGCCCTGGCCTCCGCTGCCCATTGGAGGTGGGCTATAGCGGTAGGACTGTTGGTGCACTGGGGAAGGGTGTGGGGGGCTATGTCGGTAGTGGGAGTTTTGATGTGTTGGAGAGAGGGAGGGCGATGGGGGCTGGTATGAGCCTCGAGTTGGGGAGGACATGGAAGAGGAGGTTGGGAGGTATTCATAAGGCTGGCCCATGGGTGATCCACCAGCTAAATACATCTGATCTTGGTGTGTGGGTGAAAGTGGCGGGCTCTGTATGATGGGAAGACTTGACTGGTTTGTGAGAGAGTCTGGAGGAGGCAGTGCCAAAGACATGGCCTCCAGCTCCTGCTCCAGGTAGTCCTCGTCCTCGAACAGGTCCTGGACGGGCTCCATGTCCTCCAGCCGGGGCTCAGGTGGAGGGGGAAGGGGAATGGATAGGGACAAGGACTCCTCCTCCTCAGGGGGAGGTGTAGGTGGAGGGGAGGGCGGAGGCTCCAGCTCAAGGTCCTGCTGGTGGTGTTCTTCCTGGCTGAGCTGATGGCATTCCTCCTCCACCCTCTGCAGTAACCGCTGAATTTCCCTGTTATTGGGACATAACTTTATGGCTTCATTCAGGTCCTCTAAGGCTTCAGGAAATTGTCTGGAAACAGAAAAAAAAATGTTTTAGAGAAAAGGTCAGCGGCAGACATAGTGAGTACCAATACACAGAAGAAAAAAAGGGACGTTGCTTAAACAAGAATCAGGATCAAAGATCATCAGGATTAATAGGAACAAAGTGCAAAAAACTGTTTTGATAAAAAAAAAAAAAAAGTTATATCTGAGATTAGATTAATCTAGGAAAGTTTTTCGTTGACAGGTGTGGTCCCACATCCACCAGATGCAACCAACCAGCGGCTCCATTAGTTGCATTGGATGTGCTTGGGATAAAACCCCACATATGGCGGAGATTTTTCATTGCATATTTAAAATGAGTAGAGAATCTTAAAAAGATATGTGGGTGGAAGCTTGGTTGGGTATGGAAACAAATCGTTACCATATTTCAAAGCATTTTCAAAAATGCTTTTTCATTTTAAGAATGTGGCTGCATTGTTTGACTCATAAATGAAATTAGTAATCAATAATCCTGTTTGCATTTTCATTTTCTTCTTTAACACCGCTCATACTTTTACTTAATTAAAATGAAAAAGAAAAAGACATTTGGGATGTATTTTTCAAAATGTACCCCAGAAAATACATACCAAAATTCAATTTGAAATGTAAAATTTGAAAATGAAAAAGCATTTTCAGAAATGCTTTTTCATTTTAAGAATGTGGCTGCATTACTTGACTCATAAATGAAATTAGTAATCAATCATCCTATTTGCATTTGACTGCACATTTTATGCCATAATCAAAGAGAAAACACAGCGGAGTAAAAGGTTGAGTTGTGTTAAAGAAGAAAATGAAAATGCAAACAGAATAATTGATTACTAATTTCATTTATGAGTCAAACAATGCTGCCACATTCATAAAATGAAAAAGCATTTCTGGAAAGGCTTTTTCATTTGAAATATGGTAACGATTTGCTTCCACAGTCGGGTGGTTTCAGTTAAAGTGGTTATGCCATCTAGTGGCAGAATGAGGAACCTATCAATATCTGTAATGTGATTGCTGAGGATCTCAACCGTGAAACCTGGTGTGGTTAAATACTAAATTTAAGTTTCCACAGTGAGTCTCTATAGTTAACCGAACACATCTTGAGCTTCAGAAAGATGTCAAACGCTCCTGCACTAAAGGGCATAATAGTGACGATGCTGCGTGAACGGTCTATTGATGGCTCCCTTAAATCGGCTGTTGGGGAATCCTGATATAATTCGTAGTGGCTGGAGGTGAATATATAGCCTCGTGAGACCATCCTGATCTCGCGAACTTTCAAGGTTTCACTCGCTAATCAGTCTGGAGACTCTCCGTTGAAGAAAATTTGGAGCCGTTCACCAAACGAACGTCCAATCAGCGTTGGCTTTGAGGCGGGTTGAGGTGTGACGCAACGAGAAGCGCGACAGTTCAGTCTAAAGAACATGGCGGCTTCAGCCGATGAAGCTAGCGTTAGCGTGGCTATCGAGCAAGTTTTATCGGAATTACAGAGTATTTCTTCACTGAAAGAAGAGCAAAACACTGCTCTGGAGGCTTTTCTCAGAGGAAAAGATGTTTCGGCAAGAGTTTGATCTATCAATTGGCTCCTCTTCGTCGTCGCTCTGTTAGTACGTCATATGCTTCGTTGATCTGATTGGTTTATTTGGCCCGTCTATCACCAACATAGGCCAATCAGCTAACCAGTATTTTCGCCCCTTCCCAAAATTACTTCTACGGAAGGTTTCCAGATGGATATGCGGAGCAAATCCATCTGACGGAGTCAGGTTAGCGAATATAAAGCAGTTTTTAGATTTTCGGTTAAAAAAACAATGCAAGAGTATGAAATTGAGCGTTTTTCACCAGCAGCTTTGGAAATTGTAAGCTAATGTAGGCATTACGTAGGTATAGTTGGTCCTTTTTTGTTTCATTCGGCACAGGAAACCTGCAGCATGTGGGTTGGTTTGCAGCAACGCTTCCAAACCCTGCTTAACATCAAATTAAAGGACATTTCAAGGTCGGGTTTGGGACCACGTTTCCCAAATTTAAGCACTGCAGTAAGGAGTATTAACCTACTGACATAGCTGAATATGTAATCTAAAAACAACTTTAATAAAATAGAAATTTAATTTAGAAAACAAGCGTCACTTGGAAATTGTTGGATGGGGATAAAAAAAAAAGAAAGCGGACTGTATACTGTATACATTATATACATATATATGTATATAATGAGAAAAAAACAAAAGATATACATTTCTTGAAGTCTCATATAACCTTCAAATACTCACTGACGCCATCTAGTGGTATATAAATTAATATTCAACAAAAGAAAATCAGTCAGGTCTACCTATCTTTATTATGGAAAATTACAAACTGGAAGATGATTATCTAAATAGATTAGCACACTGTCAATAGCACCCTGCTTATGTGAGGAGGTCCAAGTGAAACTGGGTGTGATAAAAATTAAGATTTAAAAGCCTGAAGTGCTTTGGTAAGACTTAAAGGAATAGTACACCCAAAACATGATTAGCCTTCATTTTCTACTCACCCCCATGCTGAACAACACTCTGGAGTACTTTTTTGATATCTCAAATCTGGATAGTCTGCCGGCTTCCGTAGGCTCGTGAACGCGCATGTGCGCGCTTTCAGGAAATCCTATACACTACTGTTTATGCTCTAAAAACATTCTAAATGACTTCGTTTCGAGTAAATTCTGGATGCTACCCACTCAGGAAACTTGGAATACATTGGACGAGCAGTATGGAGGAATATTGACACGTTTTTTGTGGACTTTTATGGACCTTTCTGTCTCGGGCACCATAGACCTCCATTATTTGAATGTCAGCAGACAGCAAGAAGCCTCCCAGATCTCCAGATGCATTTGAGATATCAAAAAAGTACTCCAGAGTGTTGTTCAGCATGGGGGTGAGTAGAAAATGAAGGCTAATCATGTTTTGGGTGTACTTTTCCTTTAAGGGAGAAATCTGAGCAAATTGTTGCAGGAAAAGTTGCAGTCAACAGCAAACAAAGACGACTATAAAAATGCCTTTGACAACTACTTAGCAAACATTGCATTCTTTTTGTAGGCATGGCATTAAGCGACTAGTGGATGACACAACTTCATAAGTAGTTCACCAGGGAAGGTTGCACACATGCATTTAGTGCTGCAATGCACATGCATCACTGTCTGGGGGACACAAACATGAAGAGCCAAACAAAACCGAAGTCAGCAGTCATTAAAATGTGTGACTGCACCCCCCCAAAGAAGAAATTCAAGGGCTTTCAAGGATTAGTGTCCTGTCATGGCGGCTTTCAGTAATTTTCTGAGGAACTTACTCTTTTTTTTTTTATTTATCTTTTTAATTCACAAACTTTAAAGGAGTTGAAACCTGTTGGAACCGTAGCGCAGAAACCTGAATGGAGCTGCATTAAAACCTCAGGAGAGAAACCATTTCTAAATATTAATGAAGTGGCAGCTTGGACCTATTAGAAGGCAGCTAAGACTCTTCCAGGCTTAATTATTCACAGGAGTCATTAAAAGTAGCTTGCTGTGTTTAAAAGGAAGAAACCACTTGTCCTATTTGTCTCGTTGAACCATTTAAATTGTTGTTTGATTTGTTGAAAGCAAACAGCTGCTGGTTGGTTAGTATTTGCTCTTAAGGGGGAATAACATTAGGTGGAAATGCAACTAAAGCAAAGAAACTTGAGTGCATGTAAAAAATGGTTTATTTCTAGGTACAAATGAAATCAGGAAGGAACAAAAAGGGTAAGAAATGAAGAAGGGTCGAACTGCCATGGGTGAAGGGAAAGAGTGAAGAGTTATAGCAGATTAACTCTTGATCTTCAGAGGGATAAAAAGTTGTTACCTGCTGCTGCGTTTGGCGCGCGCTCGGGCGTAGTAAGCCTCGTACGATTTTGGTTTCAGTTCAAGTGCCTTGGTAGCAAATTCCTCAGCCATCCCAAAGTCCTACAAAGATTGAAAGGCATTAAAAAAATGTGTTTAACCACATTAAAACAAGAACTTACAGCATTAAAACAAGAACTTACAGCATTAAAACAAGAACTTACAACATTAAAACAAGAACTTACAGCATTAAAACAAGAACTTACAGCATTAAAACAAGAACTTACAGCATTAAAACAAGAACTTACAACATTAAAACAAGAACTTACAACATTAAAACAAGAACTTACAGCATTAAAACAAGAACTTACAGCATTAAAACAAGAACTTACAGCATTAAAACAAGAACTTACAGCATTAAAACAAGAACTTACAGCATTAAAACAAGAACTTACAGCATTAAAACAAGAACTTACAGCATTAAAACAAGAACTTACAGCATTAAAACAAGAACTTACAGCATTAAAACAAGAACTTACAACATTAAAACAAGAACTTACAGCATTAAAACAAGAACTTACAGCATTAAAACAAGAACTTACAGCATTAAAACAAGAACTTACAGCATTAAAACAAGAACTTACAGCATTAAAACAAGAACTTACAGCATTAAAACAAGAACTTACAGCATTAAAACAAGAACTTACAGCATTAAAACAAGAACTTACAGCATTAAAACAAGAACTTACAGCATTAAAACAAGAACTTACAGCATTAAAACAAGAACTTACAGCATTAAAACAAGAACTTACAACATTAAAACAAGAACTTACAACATTAAAACAAGAACTTACAACATTAAAACAAGAACTTACAGCATTAAAACAAGAACTTACAACATTAAAACAAGAACTTACAGCATTAAAACAAGAACTTACAGCATTAAAACAAGAACTTACAGCATTAAAACAAGAACTTACAGCATTAAAACAAGAACTTACAGCATTAAAACAAGAACTTACAGCATTAAAACAAGAACTTACAGCATTAAAACAAGAACTTACAACATTAAAACAAGAACTTACAGCATTAAAACAAGAACTTACAACATTAAAACAAGAACTTACAACATTAAAACAAGAACTTACAGCATTAAAACAAGAACTTACAGTATTAAAACAAGAACTTACAACATTAAAACAAGAACTTACAGCATTAAAACAAGAACTTACAACATTAAAACAAGAACTTACAGCATTAAAACAAGAACTTACAGCATTAAAACAAGAACTTACAACATTAAAACAAGAACTTACAACATTAAAACAAGAACTTACAACATTAAAACAAGAACTTACAACATTAAAACAAGAACTTACAACATTAAAACAAGAACTTACAACATTAAAACAAGAACTTACAACATTAAAACAAGAACTTACAGCATTAAAACAAGAACTTACAGCATTAAAACAAGAACTTACAACATTAAAACAAGAACTTACAGCATTAAAACAAGAACTTACAACATTAAAACAAGAACTTACAGCATTAAAACAAGAACTTACAACATTAAAACAAGAACTTACAGCATTAAAACAAGAACTTACAGCATTAAAACAAGAACTTACAGCATTAAAACAAGAACTTACAACATTAAAACAAGAACTTACAACATTAAAACAAGAACTTACAGCATTAAAACAAGAACTTACAGCATTAAAACAAGAACTTACAACATTAAAACAAGAACTTACAACATTAAAACAAGAACTTACAGCATTAAAACAAGAACTTACAGCATTAAAACAAGAACTTACAACATTAAAACAAGAACTTACAGCATTAAAACAAGAACTTACAACATTAAAACAAGAACTTACAGCATTAAAACAAGAACTTACAGCATTAAAACAAGAACTTACAACATTAAAACAAGAACTTACAGCATTAAAACAAGAACTTACAACATTAAAACAAGAACTTACAACATTAAAACAAGAACTTACAACATTAAAACAAGAACTTACAGCATTAAAACAAGAACTTACAACATTAAAACAAGAACTTACAACATTAAAACAAGAACTTACAGCATTAAAACAAGAACTTACAGCATTAAAACAAGAACTTACAGCATTAAAACAAGAACTTACAACATTAAAACAAGAACTTACAACATTAAAACAAGAACTTACAGCATTAAAACAAGAACTTACAGCATTAAAACAAGAACTTACAACATTAAAACAAGAACTTACAGCATTAAAACAAGAACTTACAACATTAAAACAAGAACTTACAGCATTAAAACAAGAACTTACAGCATTAAAACAAGAACTTACAACATTAAAACAAGAACTTACAACATTAAAACAAGAACTTACAACATTAAAACAAGAACTTACAGCATTAAAACAAGAACTTACAACATTAAAACAAGAACTTACAGCATTAAAACAAGAACTTACAACATTAAAACAAGAACTTACAACATTAAAACAAGAACTTACAACATTAAAACAAGAACTTACAACATTAAAACAAGAACTTACAACATTAAAACAAGAACTTACAACATTAAAACAAGAACTTACAACATTAAAACAAGAACTTACAAAATTAGAACAAGAACTTACAACATTAAAACAAGAACTTACAGCATTAAAACAAGAACTTACAACATTAAAACAAGAACTTACAGCATTAAAACAAGAACTTACAACATTAAAACAAGAACTTACAACATTAAAACAAGAACTTACAACATTAAAACAAGAACTTACAGGGAGATGAGCATTAATAATTCCCTCACTTACATTCATTTTCCTCCGACATCGGGACAGGTTGAGGAACAGCGACACTTTCAGTTCCCTGAATGACTTGAGGTCCTCGCTAAAGCCTTCGCGCGGAAACTTTTTGAGAGCGTACTGGTAACGTTGAGTTGCCTCCTTCACCTTCCCTTTCTGTTAGAGGAAAAAAAATATTCTAACATTTGGAGATGGATCAGAAAAAACATGAATGACTGCATGGTGAACTTGCTGTCTTCTCACCTTGTAGAAACTGTCCCCCTCCTCGATGAGCTTGCTGAGTAAGATGATCATGATGTCTGGTTTGGAGGTGGCCATGGCCCACGTAGCTGGACCTGCAGGAGAAAAGAGGGAGCGGATTTAAATAAAAACACAGTGAGGAGGACACAAAGTAAAATAACCTTCATGAGACAGGCGAGTTTAACTGGGAGACGCATCACAGAACACAGTAACATCACAGGAATCAGGACAACATTAAAAAATGGGGAACGGAAGAGAGAAAACAGGCAATTAAATGGAGAGGAACGATAAAAAAAAACTGCTCTAAAACCTCCATGTGACGTCGCTTTGAGACCTCAGGACACAGCTGGAACTATTTGCAAATGTTGGACCATTAACAAAGGATATCACCTCAAAAAAGCCCAATCAAACAACTGCAATCGTCTTTTTTATGTGATGCATTAAACATCTGCAAATAGAACCGGGATCAGGGAAACTTAACAGAATAAATCAAATCATTCTTTTGTATTCCAGTCATAACAGTTTTGTAAGGGGGACTTTTTTTCCAGCATAAGAGAATGCTGGTTCTCATATTCAAAAGATAAAACCCCCCAAACTGGAAAAAATGATCTAGAAATAAGTAAAAATGTCTTGAATTATGTGTATTTACCCTTAATTTGAGTAGGTAAATAGGATAGTTTGCCATTGGAATTAGTATTTTTAGTTCTAAAATAAGATAATTAGAAAATATACACTTGATAAGTAATTTCTTTTTCCTATTTTAAATGTAAATTGTCTTGTTCCATTGGCAAATAGTCTCACTTACCTCCTCAATTCAAGAAGAGGTGCACTTAATTTAAGAAAAAATGACTTATTTAGATTTTAATTTTTTGCAGTGCAAACAATCAACCCATCAGACTGGTTTGTAGCTAAAATCCAAACTAGTGCATCGTGTTTGTGCAAAAGCAGTTCTTGACAGGTACGGACACCAGGAGATTAAAACTACATACAAACTTGCACAAATAAACATACGGAAGAGGATTAGGGCAACTGAAAAAATAAAAAAAAGTTAACTGATTTTTAAATTTTATTTCAGTATAATATGAGAAAAAAGTTAGAATTCTGAGATTAAAGTCAGAATTCTGACTTTTTTCTTCTGACTTTTCTCTCAGAATTTTGACTTTTTTCTCTCCAATTTCTGACTTTAATCTAAGAATTCTGAATTTTTATCTACCAATTCTGACTTTAAGAATTTTGACTTTTTCTCTCCCAATTCTGAATTTAATCTCAGAATTCTGACTTTTTATCTCCCAATTCTGACTTTAAGAATTCTGACTTTTTATCTCCCAATTCTGACTTTAATCTAAGAATTTTGACTTTTTCTCTCCCATTTCTGACTTTAATCTAAGAATTCTGACTTTTTCTCTCCCATTTCTGACTTTAATCTAAGAATTCTGACTTTTTCTCTCCCAATTCTGACTTTAAGAATTCTGACTTTTTCTCTCCCAATTCTGACTTTAAGAATTCTGACTTTTTCTATCCCAATTCTGACTTTAAGAATTCTGACTTTTTCTCTCCCAATTCTGACTTTAATCTAAGAATTTTGACTTTTTCTCTCCCATTTCTGACTTTAATCTAAGAATTTTGACTTTTTCTCTCCCAATTCTGAATTTAATCTCAGAATTCTGACTTTTTCTCTCCCAATTCTGAATTTAATCTCAGAATTTTGACTTTTTCTCTCCCAATTCTGAATTTAATCTCAGAATTCTGACTTTTTCTCTCCCAATTCTGACTTTAAGAATTCTGACTTTTTCTCTCCCAATTCTGACTTTAAGAATTTTGACTTTTTCTCTCCCATTTCTGACTTTAATCTAAGAATTTTGACTTTTTCTCTCCCATTTCTGACTTTAATCTCAGAATTCTGACTTTTTTCTTCTGACTTTTCTCTCAGAATTTTGACTTTTTTCTCTCCAATTTCTGACTTTAATCTAAGAATTCTGAATTTTTATCTACCAATTCTGACTTTAAGAATTTTGACTTTTTCTCTCCCAATTCTGAATTTAATCTCAGAATTCTGACTTTTTATCTCCCAATTCTGACTTTAAGAATTCTGACTTTTTATCTCCCAATTCTGACTTTAATCTAAGAATTTTGACTTTTTCTCTCCCATTTCTGACTTTAATCTAAGAATTCTGACTTTTTCTCTCCCATTTCTGACTTTAATCTAAGAATTCTGACTTTTTCTCTCCCAATTCTGACTTTAAGAATTCTGACTTTTTCTCTCCCAATTCTGACTTTAAGAATTCTGACTTTTTCTATCCCAATTCTGACTTTAAGAATTCTGACTTTTTCTCTCCCAATTCTGACTTTAATCTAAGAATTTTGACTTTTTCTCTCCCATTTCTGACTTTAATCTAAGAATTTTGACTTTTTCTCTCCCAATTCTGAATTTAATCTCAGAATTCTGACTTTTTCTCTCCCAATTCTGAATTTAATCTCAGAATTTTGACTTTTTCTCTCCCAATTCTGAATTTAATCTCAGAATTCTGACTTTTTCTCTCCCAATTCTGACTTTAAGAATTCTGACTTTTTCTCTCCCAATTCTGACTTTAAGAATTTTGACTTTTTCTCTCCCATTTCTGACTTTAATCTAAGAATTTTGACTTTTTCTCTCCCATTTCTGACTTTAATCTCAGAATTCTGACTTTTTTCTTCTGACTTTTCTCTCAGAATTTTGACTTTTTTCTCTCCAATTTCTGACTTTAATCTAAGAATTCTGAATTTTTATCTACCAATTCTGACTTTAAGAATTTTGACTTTTTCTCTCCCAATTCTGAATTTAATCTCAGAATTCTGACTTTTTATCTCCCAATTCTGACTTTAAGAATTCTGACTTTTTATCTCCCAATTCTGACTTTAATCTAAGAATTTTGACTTTTTCTCTCCCATTTCTGACTTTAATCTAAGAATTCTGACTTTTTCTCTCCCATTTCTGACTTTAATCTAAGAATTCTGACTTTTTCTCTCCCAATTCTGACTTTAAGAATTCTGACTTTTTCTCTCCCAATTCTGACTTTAAGAATTCTGACTTTTTCTCTCCCAATTCTGACTTTAATCTAAGAATTTTGACTTTTTCTCTCCCATTTCTGACTTTAATCTAAGAATTTTGACTTTTTCTCTCCCAATTCTGAATTTAATCTCAGAATTCTGACTTTTTCTCTCCCAATTCTGAATTTAATCTCAGAATTTTGACTTTTTCTCTCCCAATTCTGAATTTAATCTCAGAATTCTGACTTTTTCTCTCCCAATTCTGACTTTAAGAATTCTGACTTTTTCTCTCCCAATTCCGACTTTAAGAATTCTGACTTTTTCTCTCCCAATTCTGACTTTAAGAATTTTGACTTTTTCTCTCCCATTTCTGACTTTAATCTAAGAATTTTGACTTTTTCTCTCCCATTTCTGACTTTAATCTCAGAATTCTGACTGAATTCCGACAGCTAACAAACATGTTAGCATCAAGCTGTAGCCATGTTTGTTTTAGAGACTAGCTCTCTTGTGTTAATAACCTTCTGCTCTTCCATTAATGAAATGGCATCACCGGGGACCCTCCGGCACAAAAAAGTCGCCTAATTCTGTAATTTTCCACCAATGTGTTCCTGTTCCTCCCAAACAACTCACATCTTTGTCAGAGAAGCTGAGTGCTCCCACATCTCTTCCTTCATGGTGCCCATCAACATTAAGATCCAAGATTCTGAGAAAAAAAGTCAGAATTCTGAAATTAAAGTAAAAATTCTGACTTTTTTCCCCATATTAACTTGAAACGATATTTAAAAATCAGTTAAGTTTTTGTAGTTCTTCAGTGGCCCTAATCCTCTTCCATACAAACATGGTGCTGATCTGGTGAACAGAACAAAGCAAGCAAAGGTGATGTGAAGTCTTTCTGGAGGTTTTTACTGTCCACTCAGCTGCAGGTTGAAGGAGAAATGCTGCTGAAACAGCCTGGCTAACAAAGAAACCATGGATGGGTAAGGGGTACCAATGCAGTCTACAAACACATGCACGTTGGAAAATAAAAATAAAAAAATCACTTCCACATTAGCAGTAATTTCAGGCATGCGTTTTTGGTGTGATGTTGCAGGCTGGAGGCCGGGCATGCTTTAATCGAACCACCTTGGCGTTAGCATCTACCTCTAGACAATCCAGAGAGCGCCACTGTCACTGCTAATACCTTTGCATGTTATTATTTGTCAGTTTGAGAAGGGTTTGGGTAGCTAAGCTCGCCTGCTGACACTTAGGACCACACAGACAACACAGAGAGAGGAGATAGAGCTGTCAAAATGCCTGGTAGGGTGAGAGGTCGACAGCCTTGGCTTTACCTCGGGGCCGACTGGGCAGCGTCTGACATCCTGGCGCCGGTGAAAGAGGTGGAGTGGAGGTAAGAGTGAGGTGGTAGAGGGTGAGTGGGTGGGGCGGAATCGCCGGAGAAGAAACAGTGGCGTGGGAGCGCAAAAAAAGAGCAAGAGGAAAGAGATACAGCGGGTGGGTGAAAGAGAAGGAGAGGTGGTGGTGGATGTGGTGGAAGAGAGGTGAGAGAAGGAACACAAGCAGCAGTGAGAAGCGAAGGAGGTAAGTGCCTCAGCAAAAATAAAAACAGATACAGAAAAGAAAACACCGCAGGCGCTAATCACAACCCGTCTCTGCGTTACTGCAGAGGAATGGAGAACGAGGATGTGACTGAGAGCGCAGAGAGCGACGGAGACAAACAGGCGCTGAGAGGAAATGATAGAAAGAGGAAAGCCAAAATGAAGAGCGGTACAGCTGAATCGTTAAAAAGAAAGAGAGCTCTAAATAGGTGGAGAGAGGCAGCAGTAAAGGGGGGCAGGTTCTGCTAACGGAGACGCCTGCTTACCACAGAAAACAGCAAACAGAAAGGAGCTTTTTTTTTTTTAAACCCCCAGATCTTTGTCAGTTTTCTCTAGTTTTTTATTGTAGAAATGGATGGAAAAGGCTGTAGAAATGCTCAATGAGTCATGACCTTTTATCCTCTGATGCCACTAAATAAAATCAAACGCTTTAGGCAGCCTGCTTATTAGAGAAACTGAACAACCTAATTTCTCTGTACCTACAGCTTAGTCTAACAGCTCCACATGGTCAAAGAAAATCTGTCAGCAGACAATTTTCAAGTCTTGCCACAGATTCCCACTTAAATTCAGGTTTGGACTTTGACTAGGCCATTCTACACTGCAAAAACGATCTTGAAATAAGTAAAAATGTCTTAAATTAAGTGTATTTACCCTTAATTCGAGTAGGTAAATAAGATCACCTGCCAATGGAACGAGTATTTTTACTCTTAAAATAAGATAATTAGATAATATGCACTTGAAATAAGACAATGCAGTTGTTTTTTCTTATTTTAAATGTTATTTTTTGTTCCATTGGCAACGTGTCTCACTTACCTCCTCAATTCAAGAACAAATGCACTTAATTTAAGAATAATTGACTAATCTAGTTTTGGATTTTTTCCAGTGTAATACATCATTACACTGAAAAAACGATCTAGAAATTAGTAAAAATGTCTTAACTTAAGTGTATTTCTCCTGAATTTAAGTAGGTAAATGTCATAGTTTGCCAATGGAGTGAGTATTTTTACTCTTAAAATGAGATAATTAGATAATACGCACTTGAAATAAGACCTTGCAAGTTTGTTTTCTTATTCTAAGTGTAAATTGTCTTGTTCCTTTGGCAAAATGTCTCTTTTACCTCCTAAATCAAAGAACAAATGGACTCATTTAAAGAAAAGATGACTTATCTAGATTTCGATTTTTTCCAGTGTACGCCTTTTTCTAAACATCCTTCTGTTTTCCTTCCGGACCTGCAGCCTAGTATCAAACAGGTTTTCCCGGTTTAACCTTTATTTATCTCCACATCTTCCAGCCTTTTGTTCCTCATTAAAGAAGGTATGCCCACAGCATGACTATGCCACCATTGTGCTCAAAAAGTTGCTTAATCCCATTTTTTCCCAAGAAACCTACATTATTGCTTGGAATGTTTTTCATGATATCAAATATGCTGAATTCAACAAAACACTCCTTTCAAACCTCTCTTACCAATCTTGGCTCCTTTCTTGAGCAGGGCCACCACAACCGATGTGTTCCTGCAGCCCACCGCCCGGTCCAGAGGACGCATGCCGCTGTAGTCTACGTGCTCTATCATGGCCCCGTGGTCGACCAAGAACTGGACCTGGAGGGGAAAAAAAAAAAAAAATGGAATGTCAGGATGAACTGCGAAATACAGAAGATAATAAACGTATCAAAAAAGTATTTCTTGAGTCGTCTTCCATCCGTACCACGTCAGAGTCGCCGTAGAAGGCCGCCAGGTCAAGTGGGGTACGTCCGTTTTTGTCTGCGTGGTCAGTGGCGGCGCCGCTCTCCACCAGGTAGCGTACGACGGCCAGGTGCCCTTTCAGACAAGCCCAGCTCAGAGCCGTCAGGCCCTCTTTATCCATCAGGGACAGAGAAGCTCCTGGAAAAAGCAATGGCACATAATTTACAATCCCTCCTCGTTATTTTTGTCTGAGAAACTTTAACATTTTAATTTGGCTACAGTTAACTCAACTCTGGACATTTTTGTACTAAAATATAGAGAAACTAATCCACCAAGTGTTTCTGATGTCAGATGAAGATACATTTCATTGATTTAGTTTTAAATTAAGATTGTCCTACAATCCAGCAATCTCTTAGGTTCCAGTAACAGATTCCAAATGACTTTAAATATGTAGAAAAAGAAGGAACAAATATTTCTTATACTTTTATTCACTAATCAACAATTATTAATTGTCTTAACCACAATAATATTAACTAACATGTTTTCAACAATCTTTAAAAGTTAGTGAAATCCCTCAAACCAACCTCTAAATGTGAAAAACTTTCTCCAAAATTACATAAATTCACACTTTATTTTAATCTATAGAGCAAATCTTACAAATTATTATTATTTTTATTTCTTATAGTTACTGCAAACTAAAGTTAGCATCATGAAGCTAATGTTTTTCTTGTGTTTTGACACTTTACCTTGAGAGAGTAAAAACTCAACCGTTCCCAGATGTCCCTCTGAGGCTGCCATCATTAAAGGCGTGCGACCCTGCTTGTCGGCCATGTTGACGTCGGCTCCGTGATTCATAAGGAGGTCTACAATCTGCACAAACATTTGTTTAGAATATGTTATTCCATGATACGTGGATAGTTTAGGCAATTCTATAAAAATCTTTTTCTTTTTTCTATTCAACAATAGAAATATCAATAACAGAACAATGTGGATTCTCTATTGGAAGACATCTAGATAAAAAAAAACAACCAAAACCAAGAACATCTGATCAGTGGTAGTAGATGGAAATGAGAGAGAGGATGGCGTCCCTGACCTGCCAGTGTCCGTGTCTGACGGCGCTGAAGAGGGGAACGATGCCTCGTCTGTTGGGCTGAGCCACGGCGGCGCCCTGCTCCAATAAGAGGCGGCAAACTTCCAGCTTCCCGCGACCAGAGGCTGCCGTCAGAGCTGAGGGCAAACACATGCAGTGTTTATAGTTCAACTCCATCAATTAATTAGAGCAAAAGTTAAAGAAAACTCATTCCAGGATATTAAGAAACTGAATATAAAGATAAAAAAGTGAGAAATTCATGCAAACTCACTTCTTTTGCCCGTTTTATTCCCTTTTAATCAGGCTAATATTCCTGATGGGAATTTCTGCTTTTCAAGTCATGTGGTTTAAAGCTATAGAGGACGATCTTGTATTTCTGGGTGGATCATCTCAATAAGTGGTCCTCCTTATTGTCAATTATTCTGGTCATATGTTTACGTAAGGCGTTAGATATGAGATATATGTGCTCGTCTCGTTAGCTATCTTTTTCTGCACATGCGCACTTTTATCTATCTGTGGTGAGCTACGGTTTCAGACGGTCATTAAAGCTTTCTCACCATTGTTCTTTGAAAATGGCCGAGGGTTGTAAGAGAAAAAGTGTCTACGAAGTGTATGAGAAGAAAAGAAAAGCCTCAGAAGAGGCAGATATATCCCAGAATACTTTGCATGGAGGGCTCTACTTGCAAATCATTATGGGATTTGCGGTCACAGCGGCCCGCTGTCACCATAGCATGTCGCTAACAGACAGTGGCGACTAATAACAAAGATGGCGCAGGCACCACGCAGTGGAGGAGGAGTTAGATGACCAACAGAGCTACCGTAAAAGCAGTGATCATCTGTCCAAACGGTAAGAGTTAACTGAGTTTACTATAAAGTCCACTATATAGTCCTCACTGCATGTGGACACAGTAAGATTGTATGAGCTATGAAAACGGCACATACACTGCAAAAATTATGTAGAAATGGTAAAAATTTCTTAAATCAAGTGTATTTAGCCCTAATTCAAGCAGGTAAATGAGATGATTTGCCAATGGAATGAGTATTTCTTAATTTTAAAATAAGATACTGAGATAAAATGCACTTGAAATAAGACAAAGCAATTGTGTTTTCTTATTTTAAATCTAAATTGTCTTGTTCCATTGGCAAAATGTCTCTTTTACCTTTTCAATTCACGAACAAATGCACTTATTTTAAGAAAAAATAACTTTTAAAGTGGAGAGGGCGGGTCTTTAAAAAATTCTCCACAATACCTTTAAAGGTGTGGTGTAAGGTTTATTCAATGATGATTATAAAGTTAATGTGTGTGCATATAAAACATTGAGGAAATGAGATGCTTCACTTGTTTACTGCAAACTGTCATGCAACGGTGGTGGAAAATTCCTGATGTTTGTGCAAGGCTAAATCACAGTTATCAGAAGAACACTCTGTCCTGTGACTTGATAAATTTCCTTATCAGAAGAACACCCTGTCTTGTAACTCACCCCATGTGTTATAAAATGCTAATAAAAAGGCTCTGCAGAGGAAGTCCGTTAGAGAGTTAGAGAGTTGGGTGTAGCTCTCTCCTTCTGCAGAAGCTGCTAAAGATCACTTTTCTGTGTGGACTCAGTTCCTCTTTTACCAACCTACATTTTTTAACCTAACATGTGGGGCAAAAAAAAAAATCAGGTTTATTTAAACCCTTTTACATATATTGATTTCCTTGAGCTGAGTTTCAGTGATTCAGGCCTCAGAGCTGCAAGGATACAAGGTGTCCAAAGGAGAGGGGTTGTTTATCCTATTAGGGAGGATTTGGGATAAAAATAACGGTTCTCATAAAAAGCTAGAATGTTTCTCAGGGATTATTTCATAACATTACATGTTATTTCCAACTGTATGTCTTTGTTTGGGTAACAATATGTGAGGACCTTCCCAGCTCTTTTGCAGGCTTTAATTTAGTGAGACTAATGCTGTCTAGATCAGAACAGGGCAGAACATCATACTGTTTAATGTCTTCTTCTCTTTTTACTCTGCAAAGTAAAACAACGTGTCGACTAAGTGAAATCCAAAAGAAAATCGATCTACGATCTAAGTTTATTTAACTGGAATATATAGTTTAATACTTTTCACACCATAATTATGCGTTTTTCAGCTTGATGTCCTCGACTGGTTTTTCTGGGAGCAGTTATGACAGAAGTGTCTGATCAACCTGGCCTCAACCCAAATAGATGGAGGATTTCTGAATTAATGTTTCCAGGGGTCAGCAGGAGATTCTGCACTGAAGGTGGGAAATCTTCAGTCGGCTCGGCTCAAATATTTGTAGATTTAAAATGAATAATGGGGATTAAAAGGTTCCACTGGGGACAAATCACCCAGCAACATGAGGCAGACATAAGAAATGTCAAACAATATCCGATCATAAACTGTGATGTAAAGCAGGCGGCCGCTGGTCTTGTAGCAATAAGGTCCTTGAATCCCAGTCAGGGCTTCTCTGCATGAAGATGAAATATTCCTTCTATCCTATTTTCTGGGTACTCCAGCATCCTCCCACAGCCTGACTTCATAGTTTATCGGGTCTCTATAAATTATCCTATGAAGTAAGAGTTTGTCTGACCAGCATGCCTGGGGATCTGTCCAGGGGCCTCCAGCTTGTTGCAAAAAAAGTTAAAAATCAATCCACAGGATTTTGTTTCCAAGTTTGAAGATATTTCGCGTCCCTACAGGAAGATTTTTCAATAAAAAAATCAAGAAATAGTGATGAGTTTTAAGGCTTTATACAGAAGCCCAAAAAAGCCTTGTTTTTGATTAGAAAACATGCAAATTGAAACGTACATTAATTTTATAATAATTGTTTTTCTGCTCAGTGGCGCAGTGGGTAGCACTGCTGACTTGCAGCAAGAAAGTTTCAGGTTCGATTCCCGGCCCGGGGTCTTTCTGCATGGAGTTTGCATGTTCTCCCTGAGCATGCTTGGGTTCTCTCCGGGTACTCCGGCTTCCTCCCATAGTTCAAAGTTACGTGAACTCAAGTGAACTTCTGTTCTCGCGAGTTAAATCTCCGGACCTGTTACCGGAGCCGCACCGCACCGTAGTCAAAAGGGCGGTGTGAGAGGGGGTGTGCGGGAGTTGCAGTCTCCGTCGGCTCGGTAACCGCACCAGAGCCAGTGTGAGCAAGGGGTTAGGTGAGTGTGCGTGAATGGTTGTTTGTCTCTGTGTTGCTCTGTGATGGACTGGCAGCCTGTCCTTGGTGGATCCGCCTCTCACCTGTAGACAGCTGGAGATCGGCACCAGCAACCCTCGCGACTCAAGCAGGGATAAGCGTGACGCATGATGGATGGATGGATTTTTTTTCCTTTTAGGAAATGTGACTGTGCTTCTAAATCCCAGACCAGTTGCTGCCCCGTTTTGATGCCTCTGCTGGCTGCAAACGGCCCGGGATTCCAGATGTGTGCATTTCCCCCGGCCGCCCTTTAAAAAGCAGCTTTGAGAGCAGCTGTTGTTCAGAGATAAAAGTAGACGTTCCCTCCTCAAATGACACTCGGAAAACAGGCGTTTTGACGCAGCAGCTTGGAGAAGAAGGACTGTAATGAGGTTTTATAGCTGCGGGGTACAATGACGCATTACATTTCTCAGCACCCTGCCACAGTACAATCAGACTAGTCATTTGAAAGTCCCCTGGAGCGACTCCTTCCTTCCCTACCCCTCCCCTCTTCTCGCGCCCAGCCCCGACACCTCAGACTGCAGCGTCATCCTTCTCTGACGCAGCAGAGGGCAGCAGACAGAGCTCGCTTCCATCCGCACTGCAGCGCTCTGCCTCACAGCGACACTCAGGAGCGCCCTGAAAAGAAACGGCGCTCGCCTGGAGAGACTCCAGGATATTCTGCTGCAGCTGTCCAAGGACTTCATATCAAGATATATTTTACTATTGATTTTTGTGCGGTTTTATGCGTAATGAACTGTTATTGTAGGCACACCAACCTGTCTCTCCCCACAGGCTGTCAAAGTTATTGATCTGAGCACGCTCCACTTCCTCTTCATCTTTCTCTGGCAGGTCCAGCAGGTAGGAAACAATCTGATGGAAGAAAGCATGAAGAAAGCAACACGTTACTGTGACTTCTTTTTATTTTGCTTACTCTTACTGTATTTCAGGATCCTAAAATGTTTTTAAACTGAATCTGGATTCAGCCAACCCTATCAGATCCAAACTTATTTACATCCTTGAACTTTTTCTACCTTCTTGCTGCAGCCAAAAACTTTAATGTACTTCAAATTGGATTTCATGACTCCACGGAGAGTAGAGTCTTATTTTGAAGTGGAAACAAATTACACACTGGAAAAAATGATCTAAAAATGAGCATAAATCTCTGAAATTAAGTGTATTTACTCTTAATTTGAGTACATAAATGAGATGATTTGCCAATGGAATGAGTATTTTGAGATATTTAGATAATATGCCTTTAAAATAAGAATGCAATTGTTTTTTTTCTTATTTTAAATGTAAATTGTCTTGTTCTATTATCAAAATGTCTCAATTATCTCCTCAATTCAAGAACAAATGCACTTATTATAGGAAAATAATGACTTATCTAGATTTTGATTTTTTTTCCCGTGCAAAAATCCCAATAAAATACAGAGGAGATTGTGGATAAAATGAGACAAAATGTAAATATGTTGGCATAAGTAATTTCCAAAAGCAATGTACACAGTACTCTACATTAATGTATTTTTATATCAATGTAAAGGACTAGGGGAGGAGATGATAAAAAAACTCTTTTGAGACTAAATTACACTTTTAAAACTATATGTATCTCAGTTTTTTGCTTTATTTTGATATAATTAGAACATCTTAACCAACCAGATATACATTCTAATACAGATTATAGAAACGGGTAGCCAATAGCAGAGTCTGCAGCAAATGAGAAATTCCTTCTTAGTGCTAAAAGACTTTAAGTATAACAAAGGAAAAAATCTATAACCACAAAATTCAACAAAAAATGTAAAAGATATGATGCTAAAAAAAATTTATAAGCAGTTTGCTTAAATATAACTTTACAATGAAATGTAAAAAATATTCTTCTCATCCATTTATTGTAGTTGAAATTTAAACGAATACTGTGCAACCTTTGACCCACGGATTAGCTTAATTTACATATTAAATGAGTTTTCAGGTCAGAATTTAGCTCTTGTTGCGTATCGATGCTTCCTGCTCTTCTTAAAAACTACCCTTTAAAACTTAATAGCCGGATCCATCCACAAATAATGTAATTATCGTACTAAAATTACTTATTTCTATCCTTTAATCACTAAAGAATGCTAATGAAAGTCTTTTTCTCAGACAATTTTAATGCTTTTTACATTTTCTTCATGTAAAAAATCGGCAAAATATGATTAAACCGTGTTTATCTGCGTTTTATTAGTTTCTTACTTTAGGTTACGCACTATATACCATCATGTTAACATGAAAGGAAAACATAAAACTCAAAGAGACTAGATTTATTTGTTATAGGGCAAGTTAGCGATTTTGACGACTTGCAGACCCCTTACAAGTTTTTTTCACTTCCTCATCGCCTCGGCCGTATCTAGACCCACAGCTAGTTACTGATTGTCCCTCTTGTGTTGTTGAGTGGAATAACAGCGCAGACCAAGCTTCAAAATTGGGCGTAAATCAAAAATATCTGCGACAAGCTCACTGCGACACACAGCTGCAGGTTTCAAAACAGCTCTCTGGAACTCAACACTAATCTAGACATTTGAATTAAAAAAGTCCAGTGGTGTGTTTTTGAATTTTGAATGACTATGACTGAGAACCTTAGCCAGCATCTTCATAGAATACTTTATCAACATAAAATGTTTGTGTAAGCATGATAATTGTACATTTTAATATTCATTTATATGTAGAAATGTGAGATTCTATATGGCTAGGGGAAAGTTTAACATTATAAATCAATAAAACTATTTTTTACTGGATGAATGACTGGTTTGTCAGCAGTAGAGGAATATTATGTGTGATTCAGACGGCGGCAGCTGTGCGGTACCTCTGTGTAGCCCATGCTGGCGGCAGCGACCAGCGCCTGCTGCACTGCTTGGCTCTTTGTGAAGGACGCCTGCTGTTGTGTTTGCGGCGACTGTTGCTGCGGGGAGCCGACGTTCCAATCACACTGGATGAGGAATTTGACCACCTCCATGTGGCCCCTGAGGGCCGCGTGAACCAGGGCGCACTGGCCGTTTTTGTCCAGGTGGTCCACCTTTTAGCAAAAAGAAAAAAAAACAAATATCTACCAGCCAATCAAAGCACGCTGGTTTCTCTTTCATCCCGCTTTCCTCCACAAACCTTTGCTCTCTTCCGACAAAGCGCAGTGACGATGGCCATGTGCCCACCGGCCGCCGCGTAGGCAAGCGGCGTGAGGCCGTTTTCAGACTGGGCGTCCACGAAGGCACCAAACTCCAGCAGCAGCGCCACCATGTCCATGTAGCCCAAATGGGAATGGACGCAGAGGATGGGGGCGTTGTTCAGCACCTCTGTGCGGTAGTTCACATTGGCACCTCCCAGCATCAAGAGCCGACTCACCTAAAAACACAAAAGGAGCAACACAGACGAATGTATCAGAAGGGCATTTTCTGTGCGTACGTATTAAACATGGAGGCATGATTCATAGGCTTCTGTACCTTGATGTTGGGGGTGTACAGATTTCTGAGCGATGAGAGCGCAGCAGAAAGACCCTCTGTGCTGTAGGAAATCCACAAACCTTGCAGGATAGACGAAGAGACTCCTACTTTTTTGCTGAGGCCCTTTAAGATAAATGAGATTATCTATTAGAGCCGTGCTCGACCACAGCTGTATGGGGGGTGCGGTTAAATGTTGCACCTTGAAGATATGTGCTTTGAGGATGTGATGGCCCAGCTCGATCGTCTGCTGCCTGTTCAGCTTGTTCTGCAGGCGAGAGAACCAGAAGGCCAGCAGGGTGTGTCCGCTCCTGCAGAAACAATAAACACACGGCATCAATGCTTCCTGCTCTCATAAGAGGTCAGTATATTTATTCTTTTTACAGCACTAGTGGCTCGTTTTTTGACAGGAAAAGGGGGTATAAGAGAGGGGGAGAGCCACACGGCAAATTACCAGAGCCGGATTCAAACCCGGGTCGGCCGCATTATGGACAAAGGCCTCCGTATATGGACATACAAACACCATGAAAGAAATAATGCCTTGAATCACAGTGAAACATGGTGGTGGCAGCATCATGCTGGAAGCTAGTCAAGTGGAGATGGAAGATTTGTGGAGCTAAAGCTAAACAACTTCAGCTTGATCCTGCAGGAACTAGGGATGCACGATATTGGGGTTTTTGGCCGATATCCGATATGCCGATATTTTAAAACTCATGTAGCCGATAACCGATATTGATACTGATGTTAAAGCTGGACAAAAATAAGTAGTCATTGAAAATAGCAGTTTTGTTATCCATTTCTGACACTTTGAAAAATAATATACTCAAATATATTTTCATATGCTGATATCAAATAGATTTTTAAAAACGCAGTATCGATCTATTTTACTTTCAAAATCTTGTGAAATTTCATCGTTCTGTTACAAACTCTCAAGATATTTTGGAAATTCTTGTGAGATTTTGTTAGTAAAATAGATCCATATATAGCAATATTTCATTAGTAAAAGAGATTGATATGGTGTTTTTAAATGGCAATATATCAGCATATGAAGATATTGTGATATTTTAATGTATCAATATTTTTTCCCTCGTCTTTAGAAGTTTTTAAGTCTGTAAAAAAGAAGTTTTTGAGGAAGAAGAAGTAGTATTTTTTTTTAGACTTTAGAAACTCAGAAGCTGATCAAATATCGGGTTAAATATCGGTGGGGTGGCCGATGTCCGATATTCAGTTTTTAGGCCGATACCGATAGGGGGCCGATTATATCGTGCATCCCTAGCAGGAACCCAACAGTCAGGAGGTTCAGTTTCCACCAGGACAACTATCCTCAACATACAGTCAGAGCTACAACACCAGAATCAACATCCAGTCAAAGATCACACCTAAATCTGCCTTTTGAATTGAAAGCACTTCCTGGATGGGAAGCAAAACATCTTCAAACTTGAAAAAAAAAAAAGTCCGGAGGATTGTTTTTTAACCTTTTTTAGAATGACTATGACATGTGTTGTTCTCCTACAGCTGAGCATCTTAACCAGCACACCTAAATCTGGTTGAAAATTTAAGCATTTCTTCATTTAATCTTTGGGCAAAAAGTCCATCTCAACGTGAACCAATCTAAAAAGCATAATTCCTGCAGCTGTTAGAGACTTAGAGGCTGAAAAATTCACAATATTCACAAACATTCAGGTTTATCTTAAAAAAAAGTCAGGGGGTAGAAATCATCTATCAAGACATTATACAACTTAATATTAAAAAAGAAATGTATTTATCAGGATTGCTTTTTTTAGCACTAGTAGTAATTCCCATTATTCTGGAAGAGGATTAGGGCCACTGAAAAAAAAAAAGTTAACTGATTTTTAAATTTTATTTCAGTTTAACATGGGAAACAAGTCAGAATTCTGAGATTAAAGTAAGAATTCTGAGATTAAAGTCAGAATTCTGAAAAAAAAAGTCAGAATTCTGACTTTAATCTCAGAATTCTGACTTTAATCTCAGAATTCTGACTTTTTTTCTCAGAATTCTGAGTTTAATCTCAGAATTCTGACTTTTTCTCTCAGAATTCTGACTTTAATCCCAGAATTCGGACTTTAATCTCAAAATTCTGACTTTTTTTCTCAGAATTCTGACTTTAATCTCAGAATTCTGACTTTTTTTTCTCAGAATTCTGACTTTAATCCAAGAATTCTTACTTTAATCTCAAAATTCTGACTTTTTTTCTCAGAATTCTGACTTTAATCTCAGAATTCTGACTTTTTTTCTCAGAATTCTGACAGCTAACAAACATGTTAGCATCAAGCCATAGCTATGTCTGTTTTAGAGACTATCTCTCTTGTTTTAATGACCTTCTGCTCCTCCATTAATGAGGGGACCCCTCAGGCATGTAAAAATGTGCCTAATTCCATAATTTTCCACCAATGTGTCACTGGCCACCTCAAACAACTCACAACTTTTCTCAGTGAAGCTGAGTGCTCCACATCTCTTCCTTCATGGTGCCCATCTACATTAAGAACCAAAATTCTGAGATTAAAGTCAGAATTCTGACTTTTTCCCCCATATTGAACTGAAAGAAAATTTTAAAATCAGTCAACTTTTATTATTTTTTTTCAGTGGCCCTAATCCTCTTCCGTACATTATTATTCAACCTTAAATTAAGTTTTTCATGGTTATTTCTGTAGTTGTGCTATAAAAACATTAATCTGTTACAGTTATTGTTTACATGTCTTTACTGTGGTGGTCAGCGGTCTCTGATTCTGGGTTTCTCTGTCCCTTTATCCAGCTGCTCAGCTCCATCTGTCCTCACCTCGGGTCGCAGAGGAACTTTGTCTTTTCTCCTTCCTCCCTCCAGATCAGCCACTCCCTGAAGGACGGGTGAACGAACATCCTGGTGCCGTCCCTCCGCTTCACCAGGAAAACCGACAGGTTGTCCACTCGCTGCTGAAAGTCTTCCCAGTCCAGTGTGCCCTGCAAGATGCACACGTTAAAAAATGAATACTGTTTCTCATTAAGATTTAATAACATTTAGCCTCTTTGACTGTATTGCAATAAAAACTCAGATTTATTCAGCAATAAAAGAAAATTATCTTCTTATTAAAAATATATTTTTAAGCAAATATACAAATCATGCTAAAAAAGAGATCATCTGATTTATAGAAAGAAAAAACAGGATCTGTAATGTAAGTTTATTAGTGCACCAGATTGGTAATTCAATCACACTTATACTCTAATAAATGTAATTCTGATGCAACATAAGCTTTTCTCCACATAGCAATTTTTTTAATGAAACACTATCCTATAACAATATTTTTTTCCAGGCAAAGAGACAATAAGTTGTAGAGCTCTGAATTTTTAAGCGTTTTTTTTCCTCCCAGGTTAAAGGACTCCATATTTCCACCTATTGTGTTTTAGTGGAGATCAGGAATCACAGTGAGAATGAGTTACAACAACTCATGAACACATGCGAAGGTAGGGACTAAAGGGAGGGTGATACAGGAGGGGTGGGGGGATCTATGATTTTATTTTAGACAATCTATGATTCTGGTTGCTTTTAGCAAACAGGAAAAGACTGAGAAAGAAGAGGAAGGGAGTGATAGAGTTTGATAGCACCCTAATAAATAAAGCAAAATTGAACAGTTGCAACTCGAGTTTTTCCTCAAAAGATGATGCAAATGTAAAAGATGAAAGGTAGAATAGACAGGATATTAAGTATTAAGTATATGGAAGTATTAGGACTGCCTTAGAATTGGGATGATTAGATTTAATGATTTTTGGTCACTTAATACACAGCTGCTTGCTTGTAGAAAACTAAGCCTAGCATGTACCTGCTGTTAAGCACGGAGGTGGAAGAATGAGGACATGGGCCGATTTACAGGCACCTTTACAAATTGCAGTCAAGTATGATATCTGCTGCATTATTAAATCATTTGGAGTCAAATGTGACGTCCATCCCTCCAAATCGGACACACAGATGACATATTTATTGCAGGTAAAATAAAAATGAAAAGGAAAATGAGGGGATGTGAGCGATAGCTCAAAGACATAATGATTAATCCACATAAAGTCTCCATAAGGTGTTGTCTCAGACTAACCTGCAGTGAACCAGCGTTGATGGCCTGATATATCTGCTCGTCCGTCAGCGGATGCAGCGACGCCACGGCAACGTTGAGAAGAGGAAGCGCCCGCTCGAATGACGACTGGGTGGGGAAGCGCATGTTGCACTGCAGCAGGTACACCTCCGCCAGGTTGACTGGTACCACCTGAGGGAGGAAGGAAGGAAGGAAGGAAGGAAGGAAGGAAGGAAGGAAGGAAGGAAGGAAGGAAGGAATGAAGGAAGAAAGGAATGAAGGAAGCAAGGAAGGAAGGAAGCAAGGAAGGAAGGAAGGAGGGAAGGAAGCAAGGACGGAGGGAAGGAAGGAAGCAAGGAAGGATGGAAGGAAGGATGGAGGCAAGGAGGGATGGAAGGAAGGAAGGATGGAAGGAAGGAAGGAAGAAAGGAGGGAAGGAGGTAAGGAAGGAGGGAAGGAAGGAAGGAATGAAGGAAGAAAGGAATGAAGGAAGCAAGGAAGGAGGGAAGCAAGGAAGCAAGGAAGGAAGGAAGGAGGGAAGGAAGCAAGGACGGAGGGAAGGAAGGAAGCAAGGAAGGATGGAAGGAAGGATGGAAGCAAGGAGGGATGGAAGGAAGGAAGGATGGAAGGAAGGAAGGAAGAAAGGAGGGAAGGAGGCAAGGAAGGAGGGAAGGAAGGAAGCAAGGAAGGAGGGAAGGAAGGAAGCAAGGAAGGATGGAAGGAAGGATGGAAGGAAGGAAGGAAGAAAGGAGGGAAGGAGGGAAGGAAGGAAGGAAGGAGGGAAGGAAGCAAGGAAGGATGGAAGGAAGGATGGAAGGAAGGAAGGAAGAAAGGAGGGAAGGAAGGAAGGAGGGAAGGAAGGAAGCAAGGAAGGAAGGAAGGAAGGAAGCAAGGAAGGAGGGAAGGAAGGAAGGAAGGAGGGAAGGAAGGAAGGAAGCAAGGAAGGAGGGAAGGAAGGAAGCAAGGAAGGATGGAAGGAAGAAAGGAATGAAGGAAGCAAGGAAGGAAGGAAGCAAGGAAGCAAGGAAGGAAGGAAGGAGGGAAGGAAGCAAGGACGGAGGGAAGGAAGGAAGCAAGGAAGGATGGAAGGAAGGATGGAAGCAAGGAGGGATGGAAGGAAGGAAGGATGGAAGGAAGGAAGGAAGAAAGGAGGGAAGGAGGTAAGGAAGGAGGGAAGGAAGGAAGGAATGAAGGAAGAAAGGAATGAAGGAAGCAAGGAAGGAAGGAAGCAAGGAAGCAAGGAAGGAAGGAAGGAGGGAAGGAAGCAAGGACGGAGGGAAGGAAGGAAGCAAGGAAGGATGGAAGGAAGGATGGAAGCAAGGAGGGATGGAAGGAAGGAAGGATGGAAGGAAGGAAGGAAGAAAGGAGGGAAGGAGGCAAGGAAGGAGGGAAGGAGGGAAGCAAGGAAGGAGGGAAGGAAGGAAGCAAGGAAGGATGGAAGGAAGGAAGGAAGAAAGGAGGGAAGGAGGGAAGGAAGGAAGGAAGGAGGGAAGGAAGGAAGCAAGGAAGGATGGAAGGAAGGATGGAAGGAAGGAAGGAAGAAAGGAGGGAAGGAGGGAAGGAAGGAAGCAAGGAAGGAAGGAAGGAAGGAAGCAAGGAAGGAGGGAAGGAAGGAAGGAAGGAGGGAAGGAAGGAAGCAAGGAAGGAGGGAAGGAAGGAAGCAAGGAAGGATGGAAGGAAGGATGGAAGGAAGGAAGAAAGGAGGGAAGGAGGGAAGGAAGGAAGGAAGGAGGGAAGGAAGGAAGCAAGGAAGGATGGAAGGAAGGAAGGAGGGAAGGAAGGAAGGAAGGAGGGAAGGAAGGAAGGAGGGAAGGAAGGAAGCAAGGAAGGAAGGAAGCAAGGAAGGAGGGAAGGAAGGAAGGAAGGAAGCAAGGAAGGAGGGAAGGAAGGAAGGAGGGAAGGAGGGAAGGAAGGAAGCAAGGAAGGAGGGAAGGAAGGAAGGAGGGAAGGAAGGAAGCAAGGAAGGAAGGAGAAAATCTGAATGTTAAAGCTGATTTTCAGTGGATTCCTTCTCCACAGCATGAATAATGCATCCTGTTTGCACAGAGCGTCTTCCACTGCTCCACATGGACTCCTTCAGAGTGAACAATGCAAATTTATCACTTGTCACTTTTTTATACAGTCTGGAAGTACGTCCGAATACATGAAATTAAATGAGTCTGGGGGGGAGAGATAAAATATTTCGTTAGGAAATGCACACAGAAGCATTTCTAATGGATTATTTATCAAAGGGGCTCTAGCTGTTAAAAGGAAGCTTTGCTTAACCTACAATACAGGTAAATATTTAAAAAAAGAAACACTCAAGAATCTTCTGCTAATTAGAAAATGATTTCTTTTGGATTAGGAGGTTTTTAAAGCATAATGAAATCATGAAAAATTAAATGCAACATGGATACTTTAGCTTTTAGTAGAAGCTGTAGCAGCACCATCATGTCTGCACATTTACTACTGGATACTACTGCTGGATTGCAGATTTATTCAGTTTTTACTAGAAAGTTCTAACGTATTTCTGCTTGTTCATGACCCTGATAGACAAGCAGTAGAAGATGGATGAACAGAGATACCCTGAATAAATACAGAATTCAAAAGATGATTTAACTTATTAAGGGGAAGAATCTAAGCTAAGGTGGTACTGAGGGGCAAAGTAACCAAACAACTCCTATCTGTGACAGCAGACACTCCCTCTTTTACGTCACAGTGATCCCTCTTCCTAAGATAACTGCATTATATGTTGATGTATACTAGAGACTGACATTTTTTCGGGAATCCCACAGTTCACGGGATTCCCGTGGGATGAGAGTCAGTATTAGTAACGATCCCGTGATTGGGACGGTACAGGATTAAACATTAACGGGAGCGGGAACAAACCAATAGTAACAAAAAAAACTAGGATCCACGCCAAAAAATAAAATAGAAAGAAAAAAAATCCAGTACTGGCGCCGCGATTTTGTAGTTTTTTCCCTTGAAGCCTACACTATAATGCGAGTCAAAAAAACTACACTGCAAAAAACATCTAGAAATAAGTAGAAAATGTCTAAAATGAGGTGTATTTACCCTTCATTTGAGCAGGTAAATAAGATGATCTGCCGATGGAATGAGTATTTTTACTCCTAAAATAAGATAATTAGATAATATACACTTGAAATAAGACAAAGCAATTGTTTTTTCTTATTTTAAGTGTAAATTGTCTTGTTCCATTGGCAAAGTGTCTCACTTACCTCCTTAATTCAAGAAAAATGCACTTAATTTGAGCATAAATGACTTATTTAGATTTCCATTTTTTGCATTGTACACGACCCAAAAACCAACAGTGCTTCTGCTCTGAGTTTTTCACCCGCGCTCAAAAACAACAATGGAGGGACCAACAGTTAGTGGCGAACTCGACTTCGAAAAGTTTGAAAAAAGTGAAATCTTATTGAAGACAACAAGAATGGGAGTGTTGCAGGAGCGGGAGTCATTCTGAATGGGAGCGCGATGGGAGTGGGAGTAATTTCACCAGGAGTGGGACGGGACAGGATTTAGATTTCTACTCTGGCCCGGGATCGGGACGGGACACCATTTTTTCTGTGGGAGTGGGACGGGACAGGACTGATAAATCCACTCCTGTGTCAGTCTCTAATGTATACCTTATGGATCGTTGTGCCATGCATAACCCTAGTGTATTTAAAGCTGGGCTCACTCTGTACGATTTTTTGCCCTTTTCTGGCCGACTTTCCAGTCGTGCGAGAATTTTTCGATCGGCCCGACTTTCAGCCTGAATGCGCGTCGTGTAATGTATAGAGGGTAATGAGGGGCGATCAGCCTCCCATGACCACCTCTTGATCAGGAATCGGGAGGACGCGAAAAAATCTAATTGTTTGATATTTAGTCGACCGTCGTGGGCAAATCTCTCAGTCCGAAAAAAACGATTCTTCTTCTTCTTCCTCACAGAATCATGGCGGGGGTGCAATGAATGAAATGGAGTTCTTTCTGTAAAACTGACAGACAGTAGTAGTCACGTTTGCTCAGCCATGTCTTTGTACAAATACGTCGTCACCTTTTCTTTTTAGGGCTTTCAGCACAAAATTGCACAAATTGCCAAGGCAACGCATTTCACTCTAGTGAGCTTCATATTCCTCTTCTAGTCGTTTGGCTTCAGGATAGACGAGTCGGAGTAACGCGATGTCACTGCGGAGCTGAGTCCGATGTGGTTTTTAGACGTACAGTGTGAGCAGGTAGATTGCATCAGAACGTCAGGTCTCTCACAAACATCGTGAGCTGTGAAATCACAACCCTGCGGTTTCATCGTACAGTGTGATTTAGCAGCGACTGAAGAAATCGCACAGCGTATGCCCGGCTTAAAGCAATTTTTCCAAAACTGAAACTTCCAAGCTTGGGAAGCACTTAAAACCATCCGGCTGCCACCATACCTAACCTTATTTGTCAACCATAACTGTTCATCTTACAGCGGATATATCTGGAAGTTTGAGGTTAAAAGAGTTTAGAAGCAACAGTATTAGAATATTTGGACTGTGACACGATTTTCATGATTTGGGCTCTGCATACCACTGCATCAAATCCTTTGGATGAGATTAATCAGCTGTTAAAAGTCTTAGAAATGTGATAAAGCTCAGTATTTATAAGCATCCTGAAATGGTCTTAGAGTTTAGTTCCAGTAACATTTTAACGATGCACAGTTTTTGTAAATGCACATACATTTGCAGGTGATGTAAAATTCTACAGCGAATAAAATATTGTCATGAGATTTCACATTTCTTGTGTGGAAAAAATGAGTATTCCTTCCTCCAAAAAATCTTCAAACACTATATTTCAATATAAAGGTGGATAAAGGAAATATCAGCTGTGCTTCTTCCATCAACACCCTTGTTTATAGATGCTGGAGATCGGCCTGTTTTCCAGTGTAGTCCTGTTTCTCTGACTGTGACTAACTGGATGTGCTCTCTTCCTCCTCTGACATGGGAGCTGGCTCGGAGCTCGTCGGCCTGGCTGTGTGTTTCCTGGACGGGGCCATATTTTACAGCTGCTTTTTGTGTCTCTGCTTCTGTCTCCTTGAACCCCAGTCGGCCTCGGCAGATGGCCGCTCACACTGAGCCTGGTTCTGCTGGAGGTTTCTTCCTGTTAAAAGGGAGTTTTTCCTCTCCACTGTCGCTACAAGCATGCTTAGTGTGAGGGATTGTATTTGAGTCGATGCAATCAACTGGTTTTCCTTAGATAGAAAACTTTGAATCCACATTGGATTTGGGGGTTAAACAAGAATATACAGTAGTAGCAATTCAACATTTCCCCACTTTCCTTGATGGGCCCTTGGCTGGTCCCCTAAGATTCCTCTTTTAAACATCAATCTTTGCACTAAAATATTCTTTCTGTCATAATTAGTGGACATTAAGATCTAAAGAGAAGCACCATCTCCTGGTCAGACCCTGTAATTCAGTGAAAGGGTGGAGTCAGAGTAAAGAAAATATGCTAAACAGGGTCACTCCAGTGGCTGGATGTTGGTATCCATTCGGCTGGCGTTTCAATGGTAAGGGCCATTTTGAATGGCTGCTACTGTATGATTAAACATGTAGAACCTGTAGCCATTTTCATACAAACGCTCCTCGTTTCAGGGGCTCAAAAGCAACTGGATAAATAAACATAACCCCAAGTAAAATGTTACTTTCTAATATTGTGCTGAGAATCCTTTGCAGGCAATGTGTGCCTGAAGTTGGCAAACTTCCTTTAATTGTATAACTTCTGCAATTTCATAATTGCTATTTGTTAAATTTGGATTATAGGAATAAAAATGAGAACAGGAAACGATCTATGCAGAGCCTGAATCACTGACCTTATAGCTGGAGCTTTTGAGAACAAGGTAGCCCTTCTCAATGAGGTCAAAGGTGAGTTTGAGGTACAGGTAGGACCCCTGGCTCAGGGCCTTCAGGTGGCCGCTGAGTTTGCCGAAGGTGGTGTTGTCCATCTTGCCGTTGAGTGAGATGTTGTTCTGGATCTCTGGGCTGCTGTGGATGCGGTGCAGGATGTAGCCCTGCAGGTCCTGGTCTATGGCGTCGTTCTCCTCCAGGCTGTCCAGGGAGATGCGATGAAATGGCAGCGCGTTGGTGATCTCCTGCAAAAAAAGAAAAACAAAAACACACATCTTTGAGTTTTAAGGTAAAAAATAAAATAAATGTAGTTAATCATAATAATGCTCTAACGTCTACCTCTCTGGGATGATATTTTATGATATATTGGACCGAAACGATGCAAAAGCTGTGTGTTCTTTTTACCTGTAGTGTTGTTCTGACTGTCACTACTAGTTTGAGCCAGGGAGGGAACTTGTGAATGGTTTTGGTGAGGAAGGACACGACGGTGTCTCCATAGTCCGGTTTGTGGAACTCGGCTTCATTGAGGCCGTCGATGAGGATGATGAGGTCTTCCTCAGTGTTGATTTTCCTCTCTAAAAATAAAAATAGATGTTAAATAACAGCATTACACACAGATTATAAATCTAATTATTAAATTATGACAGTTTAACCCTTTATAGGGCATTCAGTGAAATCCTTTAAAAATCAACATTTCAAGCCAGTAGTGTTATTGGATTCCAGGACAAGACCTTATTACCTTTGTAACATAAAAAAAATATGGATATTTTGATGGAAAAAAATGAATGTCAGTGTAATAACAGGAAACGCAAACCTGTCCGAATATTTTAAGAAAAATAACAAAAGTGCTTCTATAAGAAATTCATGAAAAACACTCTGAAAGTGAAAGAAACAAATTTTTTTGGTTCAACATAACCTTAGAGGCATTAATGATACAGGGACTTACATTTTTTTAGTTTATAAACCTAAATATAATTGTTAACTAGGCTTATTAACTTTTTACCTTTTTTTCCTGGCTTTTTTTTGTTTCCAACATAATTTCCAGTAGGTAATATATCATTCAAGGGCTCATCTAATTGGTCAAATGCCAAAATAAGATGTACGGCCATATAGCAGTATCTTTGTTGAATGGCTGGATATAGATCTTGTGCCTCTAGAACTCACTGAGGGACCGGGTGGTATTCATTAGTAAGGGGTATGTAAGTGATATCAAATGGTAACTTGCCCTATAAAGGGTTAAAAAATAAATGAATAAATCTCAGTGGTAACTGTAAGCAAATGTTTTAAGCCCCCCCAAAAAATGAGACCCAGATGGGGTCTTTAGGAGAAAGAAAAGGTAACTTCAAGTTAACAGTAAACTGTGTTTAACGGAGAAAACAAGACTAAGAAAGCGCTAGAATAAAAAGATAAATGCATCAAAGAAATCATAAAAAACCTTCCAAAAAAGTAAAAAAAAAATAATCCACTGGACTTTGTTTTCCAAGTTTGAAGACGTTTCGCTTCCCATCCAGGAATTTTTATTTAATATGTCTGAATCCAAGCTTTCTAGAGTAGGTCAAACAAAGCCTTGTACGGAAGAGCATTAGGGCCACTGGAAAAAAAAGGTAACTGATTTTTAAACTGTATTTCAGTTTAGTATGAGAAAAAAGTCAGAATTCTGACTTTAATCTAAGAACTCAGACTTTTTCATTGTCGGAATACAGTCAGAATTCTGAGATTAAACTCAGAATTTTGAGAAAAAAGTCAGAATTCTGACTTTTTTCCCCATATTAAACTGAAATAAAATGTAAAAATCAGTTAACTTGTTCTGTATTTTTAAATCAGTTTTGAGGAATTATAGCTGTTTTTATTTCTTTTTATATTTGTATTTTTCATTGTAGAATGCTTACTGTTGTGTTTTTTTTTTTTTTTTTTTTAGGTAGACAATTTTAAGATCTGTCCAGCGACAACAGACGAAAAATAGCCTTTTGGCTGATTCTGGTGCATTTGTAGGAATGCTTTTTTTAATGTACACTGTCCATGTTAAAATAAATAAATAAAAGTAGATTAAATGTTCTGGGATTTTGTGTTTGGACAAAATCCTCTTTTTCCTCAGTTTTTCAGAGACTCCAGCAACATATGGGATGGAGATGTTTTTCCTGTTTAATCTTCTCACAGTTATGTTCTGTCTTTTGGAAACATTTTCAAACTATGAAAACAAAGTTAAGTGTTTTTTAAACTTTTTTTCGGAATGACTATGACCTGGATGACTGAGAATCTTCATCAGCATAACAATCCTTAAAATAAAGAATCTTAAAATAAAACAAAACCGCTTATATGGTGCTATAAGTATAGTGCATTAAAAAGGTAATGAGATTTCATGAGAATTAACACTAATTAATGTTCTATTCATTGTATTCCTGTATTCCTTCCTAGGCTTTTCAAGTTTGTTTCTACCAGCTTTACACGTAGAAAATATTTCCTTATTCTGGAAAAAAATAGTTTATCTTATAATTAGAGAGTTTTTAGCTTCTTCTCCTTGAGCTGTATTAGTGTGGAAGTATGAGGCCTAATGAATGAGCTGAACCTGAATCTTAGATACATTGACATATAAACAGTCTATTTAACATCCAATATTTATGTTTTAAAAATTTACAGATAAAGGCTCAATATAAGTTTTCTGTTTTTCTGCCTTTCTTATCTATTATATGTTCAATTGCAATTATAGAGAAATAAAACAATTGTAAATAACTGATTTATTCTCCTTAAGCACAGCTTAAAAAACAAAACATGAAATGTTGCATATTTTTTTAGCTAACTACCTTCTTAAACTATGTTGTACAATAAAAATCCAAATGCTTTATTCAGAAGATGAAGTTTTTTTAGGCTTTGGCGTCTTACCCTTGTAAAGTGCATCCAGGGGCTCCAGGACCCCCCTCCTGAAGGACGCCAATGGGTCCTGGACGCAGGAGCGCAGACTCAGGACGCTCTGCAGGTGCGGCTCCCTCAGCAGCTGCTCCCTGTAGGCCACCAGGTGCGGCGAGCGGCACAGCAAGGCCGCGACATTGTGCACAAACTCCGGCACCAAGCAGGTATAGGCGTTGTCTGCCTGGCAGTAGTGGTAAGCCACCACCTGGGGGCGACAGAGAAGAGGGAGGAAACCGCAGGTCGGTTAATAAAGAGACCTGGATTCATCTGCAGCTCTGCTGACCTTTACCAACCTTTGATGGTTAGAAAACGTATCAAAGATCAGTGCTGAGGAGGACGTCTCTACTTTTTAAGCTTTCTGAGTTGGCAAAGAGTCAACTTGATGCTGGATGATCGCAGCATAATGAAATATAATACTTGTTGTTTCCCTGTAAGGCTTAAAGCTATTAATAATTCAGAGCTGCAGGCTGATTCCCAGTCAGCTCACGCATGTGCGAGATGACTGTGGCACGACGGAGTCAAGCGTTAAACAGTCGTATTTCACAGCTACGTAGTGAAAAGCATGATCGGATGAAAGGGTGAATGAACTGGGAGAAATCTTCCAAGGATGTAAAGCGGATCTGTAAGCGGAGCTGGGTTTTATCAGACAAAATGGCAGCAGGTGTGACGGACAATCTGAAACCCAGAGGTGGTGGCATTGATCAGAGGGCAGACGGACGAGGAAGGGGGGGAGGGGCTCATTAAATGAAATGCTAATTTTTGGTCACAGTGGAATAAATGGTTTTAAAACAAAAGGAGTGAAAAAGGGGGTGAGTTCAATTATTAATGCCAAGAGTTAACAAGATCTAATAGCCTGGCTGGGAAATGGCTTTCTTCAGATATAAATATTTTATAAGGCTCCTTGGCAAAGTTGTTTTTTCTTTTTTAAACACATCTGCATAATACAGCAGGCTGGGACCGGGCTGTGCAGATGGTCCAGCAGCAGGGAAAATAGGAGGATGGAGGAGAAAAGGCTGACTGATAGAACAACAGGGAAAGATGGTGGAGCTTTATGCAGACGAGCTTCTATGACTGAACAGGAGGCAACAAGGAGCGGCAGAGAGAAAGTTTAAAGTAGATCCTCAACTTTTCCAATTTCCTTTTCAGTTTGAAAGATGGTGGCCGTTTCTCAATATGCGTTCTTGAGCGTTCTCGTGTGCTCGTGACACAGTCATCAGCCTCAGCCCGAGTACCGTTCCAATTCTCGAGAACGCCCCAAATCCCCGGATGTTGTTCTCACCCCGCCCTCTTTATCGAGCATGCATCAGAGCAGACTTGAGCGTTCTTCAGACTGACCGCTTCCCCAGAATGTCCTGTGGCCGCAGCTTGATTCCAGACAGCGCTCACAGTGTTAAGTTAAACATTCCCCTTTCTGCTGCTGTTGTTCTTCAAAAGTACGTTTTGAAATCGTTTGAGGCGATAACATTATACATTTAAGCCTCCCTGTGTGGCCTGTTTACAGAGTTAGTGCGAAAAAAAAAAAAAAGTCCGACGTTGAGCGGACCAGAGTGACCAGCAGACCTCCGAGGGTTTTGCTGGTTTTATACCCACAGTTCGGTAATTTTTTTAAATGTTTTTTAAGCTTTAGAAATTAAAATTATTGTTTTCAAAATGTTTTGTGTAGGGAATAAATAGTTTTGACTGTTAAAGAAATGCTAAAGAACGTTGCATGTGATGACGTCACGAGTACGCTTCTGCTCCAATACACATACGTGCTCGCGTTCTTGTCAAGTCCGATCTTCCTTCGTTCTCGCCAAGAACGGACTTGACGAGAAACGCCAAGTGATCAGCAAAGCTGCCAATTAGAGACTGACAATTTGTGGGGAATCCCACGGGTCACGGGATTCCCGTGGGATTCCCGTGGGATGAGAGTCAGTATTAGTAACGATCACGTGATTGGGACGGTACAGGATTAAACATTAACGGGAGCAGACGGGAGCGGGAGCAAACCAATAGTAACTAAAAAAAACTAGGATCGATGCCAAAAAATAAAATAAAATAGAAAGAAAAAAAGCCAGTCCTGGCGCCGCCATTTTGTAGTTTTTTTTCCTTGAAGCCTACACTATAATGCAAGTCAAAAAAACTACATGACCCCTAAAACCAACAGTGCTTCCGCTCTGAGTTTTTCACCCGCGCTCAAAAACAACAATGGAGGGACCAACAGTTAGTGGCGAAGTCGACTTCGAAAAGTTTGATTGTTTTGATTGTTTATTCACCTAAGATAAGCATGGTCCGTTTCCTTGTTTGTTACTTTTATCATGTATTTATAATTATCATTCCTTTTACTTTAACTGACCTTTACTACAGTTAGAAACAGGAACTTAACTGACCCTTCATAGAAATTCAGATTCAATGTATTGGCATAAATCTTATTGAAGACAACAAGAATGGGAGTGGTGCAGGAGCGGGAGTCAATCTGAATGGGAGTGGGAGTAATTTCACCAGGAGTGGGACGGGACAGGATTTAGATTTCTACTCTGGCCCGGGATCGGGACGGGACACAATTATTTTCTGTGGGAGTGGGACAGACAGGAGTGAAAATCCACTCCCGTGTCAGTCTCTACTGCCAATCACCTCGTTTTAGTCTTGTTTGCTTACCCGCTTATATTATTATATATTTAGCCTTCCTAGTATCCAATGAGAAATCGCTGCTGTTGTGATGATTGATCCACTTTTTTGAGCAATTTAATTCTAGAAAATCATTTTTTATGGGTAGAAAAATATTTAAATAATTACACGTGTACCTAATTATAACTCTATACCTCTCTGCACTCTTTCTCTATTGTGTCTGAATGCTGCACTCAGCACCTCACTAATTAAAGAAAAATACAAAATGGAGGAGAACGAGATTTAATTATCTATGTATTATAATTGCAGGCGTTTTTTTATTTATTTATTTAATTCTGGAAAAGTTTGCAGTATAAATGAGGAGCAAATGAGGTATCCAAGCAACTTGATGTGAGAAATTAAACAAAATCAGGAGGAAGCGGTCGTATTGTTATGAAATTCCAACCTAAATCCTTTCATAACTGAATACTGGAAAAAAAAACATGATTTGCATTCTTAAAATGATTCAATATGAGAGCCAGATCCATCAAAAAATAGCAAAGAAAATTGTTTAAATATGGATAGAAGTGCTTGTTTAATCTTTGTGTTTTTCCTACCTGCGACGCCAGCCTCCTCATGGATTCCTCCTGACGTCGTCTCATCTCAGGAGTTCCAGGACAGCTGCCTCCTCCTAGGGTGCCGTGCGTGGGCTGGGGCTGCGTGAGAGGAAGCCCCTCTCCATCTGGACACGAAGCAGCAACAACAAGCTAGAGACCAGCTCTGAAAACCGCTTCTTACTTAAGTTTTTTTAATAGCTATTTTCCAATCAAACAGCTAAATGTTGCTAAAAAGTAGTACTTATGAAAACCTACGTTTGGGTGAAGCCTGCGGGCTGTCTGAGGCGATCTGCCTCATGCGGGTCCCGTGGCAGCTCAGCGCCACCAGCCGGGAGATGATCGCCGTCTTGCCGAAGCCGATGTTGCCCACAATCACGACGCCGTGGCAGATACCGCCGTTTGGGTTGTTGAGGTGGGCGTCGATCTCTTGGAAGAGCCACTCACGTCCGGTGAAGACGGAGTCCATGGTGATGCTGGGTACTTCAAACAGCAGAGGTTTGAGAGCGATGTCCTGAGGCCGATAAGGTGCAAAACGCACTGTGGGGGGGTCAAGGTAACAGAGGAGGTTTAGAGGTCAAAGAGAAGCAAACCCAGAACTCATCCAATCATTTATGAAAAATAAAACAATACTTTCTAAACACAGATTTTAAGATGATGGACGGATGGATGGATGGATGGATGGATGGATGATAATTGGATCGATGGATGGATAATCGGTGGATGGATGATGGATGGATGGATAATGGATGGATGATCGGTGGATGGATGATGGATGGATGGTTGATCGGTGGATGGATGATGGATGATCGGTGGATGGATGGATGGATGATCGGTGGATGGATGGATGGATGATGGATGGATGATCGGTGGATGGATGATGGATGGATGGATGATCGGTGGATGGATGATGGATGATCGGTGGATGAATGGATGGATGATGGATGGATGATGGATGGATGGATGGATGATAATTGGATCGATGGATGGATAATCGGTGGATGGATGATGGATGGATGGATGGATAATGGATGGATGATCGGTGGATGGATGATGGATGGATGGTTGATCGGTGGATGGATGATGGATGATCGGTGGATGGATGGATGGATGATCGGTGGATGGATGGATGGATGATGGATGGATGATCGGTGGATGGATGATGGATGGATGGATGATCGGTGGATGGATGATGGATGATCGGTGGATGAATGGATGGATGATGGATGGATGATGGATGGATGGATGGATAATGGATGGATGATCGGTGGATGGATGGATGGATGGATGATCGGTGGATGGATGATGGATGGATGGATGATCGGTGGATGGATGACGGATGATCGGTGGATGGATGGATGGATGATCGGTGGATGGATGGATGGATGGATGGATGATGGATGGATGATCGGTGGATGGATGATGGATGGATGGATGATCGGTGGATGGATGGATGGATGGATGATCGGTGGATGGATGATGGATGATCGGTGGATGGATGATGGATGGATGGATGATCGGTGGATGGATGATGGATGATCGGTGGATGGATGATGGATGATGGATGATCGGTGGATGGATGATGGATGATGGATGATCGGTGGATGGATGATGGATGATCGGTGGATGGATGGATGGATGATCGGTGGATGGATGATGGATGGATGATGGATGGATGGATGAATGATCGGTGGATGGATGATCGGTGGATGGATGGATGGATGATAATTGGATGGATCATGGGTGAATGGATGGATGGATGGATGATGGATGGATGATCGGTGGATGGATGATCGGTGGATGGATGGATGGATGATAATTGGATGGATCATGGGTGAATGGATGGATGGATGGATGATGGATGGATGATCGGTGGATGGATGATGGATGGATGGATGATCGGTGGATGGATGGATGGATGGATGATCGGTGGATGGATGATGGATGATCGGTGGATGGATGATGGATGGATGATCGGTGGATGGATGATCGGTGGATGGATGGATGGATGATAATTGGATGGATCATGGGTGAATGGATGGATGGATGGATGATGGATGGATGATCGGTGGATGGATGATGGATGGATGGATGATCGGTGGATGGATGGATGGATGGATGATCGGTGGATGGATGATGGATGGATGGATGATCGGTGAATGGATGGATGGATGGATGATCGGTGGATGGATGATCGGTGGATGGATGGATGGATGATAATTGGATGGATCATGGGTGAATGGATGGATGGATGGATGATGGATGGATGATCGGTGGATGGATGATGGATGGATGGATGATCGGTGGATGGATGGATGGATGGATGATCGGTGGATGGATGATGGATGATCGGTGGATGGATGATGGATGGATGGATGATCGGTGGATGGATGATGGATGATCGGTGGATGGATGATGGATGATCGGTGGATGGATGGATGGATGATCGGTGGATGGATGATGGATGGATGATGGATGGATGGATGATCGGTGGATGGATGATCGGTGGATGGATGGATGGATGATAATTGGATGGATCATGGGTGAATGGATGGATGGATGGATGGATGGATGATTAATAGATGATGGACGTCTTGCAGCCTTCTGGTTGAAATCACTTTACAGGACACCGCATATGATTCCAATGTCTTAGAAATAGAATTACTGCTCATTTTAAATGTAAAAGAGTGTAACAGTAATCTGCTGCTTTAAAAATCAAATACAAAGGAAAAAGATTTAAGTAAAATAATTCTTGGTATTTTGTGGTATGATGATAACCTGAGGACTAAACGATCAAAGAAGCTTATAATTACTCCACAGAATACACAGCATTCAGCAGACTGTTGCTTTTACTCACTAGGGGGAGTCAGTGAGCTAAAGTCCACCTGATGTTGGTCATATTCTCTGCAGAACATATGGACCATTAAAGACTAATGAGGGTAAAATGAATCTGGTACAAAGTTCTAAAGCTGTGTGATAAAAACATCTGTAAACTCCAGCCTGCTGCCTCTGGGCGTCCGCTCCTAAACCTCCTCTCATAAAATGTCTTCTGCTATCCTTTTAAATGTCATATCTTTTTATCCATCCTGCACGGGGGCTTCCCTCGTATTTGCTAAAGTTTTCACACCCAATGACTTTCTCTTTTATTTTATTTAACCTTTATTTAACCCAGAAATACCAATGACATTACTACTCTCTTTTACAAGCAAGTCCAGGTCAAATCAGCAGCACAGATTACAGAAATTCTGTATATGAATTGCTGTAATGAAATAAAATGTAAAGAATTAATTCATTGTGATTAATCGACTATTGAAATAATAATCTAACTTAGTGATCAATTAATGTTTATCTTGAATATAGAGAACCTAAAACATGCCTTTAGATGAGAGAGCAACCTGCTCAAAGCAGTAATTTTTACCAAAATGTAAAACAATAAGTAAACATTTTGCATTCAAGTTTAAAACCTTTTTGTCCATTAATATGCTCCATCCAGAGAGCCTCAAATGATTTAAATTCTGTGCAAAATCTCGTTTAAGGAACTTTTTTCTACCCGATTATTAATCGATTCATCGAAAAGACAGATTAATCAATTAGCAAAAATTGTTGCTAATTGCAGCCATAATTCACTAAATTACAGACAATTTCATAAGATAATTTAAAAACACTGACAAACCATGGATTTTATTTGCAAACCTTTGGGCATCAGTTTAAACGGGCCTATTGGAACCAGTTCCTAAATCCTTAATTCCAGCATTTTTCTAAATTTTTGCATGTTGTTAGGGAAGAATACAGGACTGCTACCTTACCAGCTTCTGTGGGGATATTTAGTACAGATGGTAGCAGTCAGCTTGTGAGCCTAAAGAAGACAGTCAGGTCGCTATACAGATATGAGGGGATCTGACCCTTATAAATCAACGTATACCGTTGAGTAAATCTAAGATTTTCCAGCAGTGGCCAGTTCACACTTGTGTTAAGTATAGAGTAATGTGTGCAATGTTTACAGTTTGTAATAAACATTAACAAAGCATTATAAACAAGTACTTGTTTGGTAATTTACATAAATGAGGTCACAACTGAAAGAAAAATAAACCTATTTCTTAAATAAAAGCCAGTTTTTCAGTCTGTTTCCTAACCAAATGTTTAACATGTTCTTTAAAACCAAGATTGTCGTCAAATAAAATACTGTTTAAAAGCGACAACTGTGGGACTTATCTGCAGATTGCTCTTTGTTCTTGGCAATAACATCAACTGGTTCTTATTTAAAGTAAGAATCAAGTTTCAGAAACATGTTTTGAAGTATGTTAAAAGCATTTTGTAATGTTTTTGAGTTTTTGCAAAGCTCAGATGATCACATCATCAGCATAGACATGTTAATTTACATGTAAATAGGAGTGGCCCCAAAACAGAGCCTTGGGGTACTCCTTCTCTAAAAGAGAGAATATTAGAAAAAATATTTTCTGCTTTAACACACTGATTACACTGGAAATAATCGACATCTAGATAAGTCATTTTTTCTTAAAATAAGTGCATTTGTTCTTGGATTGAGGAGGTAAAAGAGACATGTTGCCATTGGACCAAGACAATTTACACTTAAAATAAGAAAATACAATTGCATTTTTTTTATTTTAAGTGAATATTATCTAATTATCTTATTTTAGGAGTAAAAATGCCGATTCCTTTGGCAAACTATCTCATTTACCTACTCAAATTAAGGGTAAATACACTTAAATTGAGACTTTTTTTTACTTATTTCTAGATCGTTTTTTCAGTGTACAGCTACAGGTGCTTTGCACATTTCTTTCCAGGACTGCACTGTATTTTATGCCGATATTCTTCCTAAAAACGGTAAAAGTAAAAGGCGCAAATGATGCCAACTGTCCTGTTCGCAGACAGCATTTTCATTCTCAACACTTCCTGCTTGGTATCTCTGTTTCAAATGATTATGTCCTGCTAGATTTGTGGTTGTGCATAAAGGTAAAAAAGAAAAAAAACAGAAAGAATGAGAATAAAAGCAATTGTGCACAAAAGTTTTTAGAGTTTTATCATTGCAATCATCATTCTTAGACTTTTTCTTACTACTTTGTGTCAATCTTTTTCATAAAACCCTGATATAAATCTGATGTTTGTGGAAGGAAAACCATTACGAATACTAGTGTTGCACCGATACAGGTACCAGTCAGGGCCCTGATCCAGCACTAAAATGGTGGTATCAGTATCGGCGATTACTGACAAATAGGGCACCGATACCATTTTAATAGCTAAAGTTTATTCATATATTGTCACCTATTCCAGGTAGGCATTAAAAAGTTCTACTGGATTCACAAAGGTAGGCAGCAGCTTGATAAAGCCATGATGGCAATTATTTTACACCCATGTACTATGCAGTTCTTCATACATGCACACACATCAATTTCAAACAGATGGTATCGGTATCGGCCGATACTGCACAGTCAGGTATCGGTGCCAAAAAATAGCATCGGCGCAACACTAATGAATACTTTGCAAAGGCTGATGAGGCGACAGTGTGGAGAACAAGTAGCCTGATGTGACAAACGAAGTTTAAAGTAACTTACGTGATTGGGATTGCCAGGCATGGGTGTTATTTGCAGAAGCTGAGACGGACAGGAAGCGGCACACAGAAAGCAAGGAGAGAAAAAAAAGAAAGAAAAGCGAGTGAAGACAGAAATAAAAACTGCAGTAGTCTGTCAAAGGACGGCACAAGGTGGAAAAACAAGAAACAGGCACACGAAACACATCTGCAGTATCAGAATGTTAGGATAGAGAAACTTAAGGAGCAATCAAACCTGCATTGATTGGTGGTTTTTTTAAGGTTCTGCACTTTAAGGAAAGTCTGATTGGTTCATTTTTGCTTGAAAAAAAGATTCATAAAGTAAGAATTCGACCCAGGGATGTGAGAATAAAGCCCTGAATACAGAGTTGTTTGCATGCAGGCCCTCCACATCAGTATTAGTCAAATCTCAAATTCGAAGCCACAGCAGCAACATCAGACAAAGCACCAAATCCTATATTCGCTTCAGTCTTTCTTTTGTTTTCTTGCAGCTAGGTGAGCTGTGATCAGATTCTGAAGCTCCGATGACAGCCACTGGGGTAGTTCATTTCACACTCTGCAGACTACCAATAGGCATACACAGAGCCAGAGGTGCAGAAAATATGTACTTAGGGAAGACAGTCAGTACGACAGGATGGTGAAAGAGTATATAGTATGACGGTTCAGAGACAGATACAAGTTTCAGTCAAGCATGAGAAAAAATTTGAAAAAGTAGAGCTGTAAAGTAAGAATGCTTGCAGATCAAAGTGTAGATAGTTTGTTTTTATCATCTGACCTCTCCTTGCTTCCAAACCAGCATCTGTTCTTCCAGCACCTGCACTGTTTGGAGAATCTTAGATCTCTTTGGGTGCAGGTTTGCTAACATCCTTCCATCTTTCACCTTGGTCTAAAGGGCGGATTATACCTTCTGCAACCGCACACATCAAATGTCACTTAAAACTGGCCGCGAACCAGTTTTGCTGGTATGCTTCTGCAACGTTGGTATGGAATTTCTAGAGACACACAGCAGTTTCCCGCCAAAGCGCAGAGAACTCGTGAGAACTTCTTCGGCGGCGCCGGCAGGAGTGTTTATTTTCCAAAACATGACTGACAACATGTCGTACAAGTGGTTGTACTTCCGAAACTCCTCGATCAACTTTTCGTCATGGTTATCCATTGTTGTAATTACTCCTCTGTTTTTAAAAATGGCCGCCCCGGTACTGAATCGAGGACAACCACAGACAGCCGGAAAAGCATACCAAGGACCAATCACAGCTGCTTTTTGTCTGCGCACTTCTCCTCGAGGTCTGCGTCACCTCTGAGCGGGGGGCGTGATGGTAACCTGACTCCACCAGATGGATTTGCTCCGCATATCCATCTGGAAACCTTCCGTTGAAGTAATTTTGGGAAGGGGCGAAAATACTGGTTAGCTGATTGGCCTATGTTGGTGATAGACGGGCCAAATAAACCAATCAGATCAACGAAGCATATGACGTACTAACAGAGCGACGACGAAGAGGAGCCAATTGATAGATCAAACTCTTGCCGAAACCAGTCGGGAGAAGAGCAAAAACATCTTTTTATCTGAGAAAAGCCTCCAGAGCAGTGTTTTGCTCTTCTTTCAGTGAAGAAATACTCTGTTATTCCGATAAAACTTGCTCGATAGCCACGCTAACGCTAGTTTCATCGGCCGAAGCCGCCATGTTCTTTAGACTGAACTGTCGCGCTTCTCGTTGCGTCACACCTCAACCCGTCAAAGACAACGCTGATTGGACGTTCGTTTGGTGAACTGCTCCAAATTTTCTTTAACGGAAAGTAGCCAGACTGATCTGCGAGTGAAACCTTGAAAGCTCGCGAGATCAGGATGGTCTCACGAGGCTAGCGTGATCGCGCACAGAGACAGATTTGATGGTTGCAGAAGGCTATGCGTCAGAAGTATAAATGGGCCTTAATAACTTGATGTTGAGTTCAGGACACAGTGGGAGCTTTTCTCCTGTGTGCTAAAGACCATTCCGTGCCAACAAATAATATTCTCAGACATCTGACTGCAAAGAAGCTTCCCCTTTAAGTGAAACAAAAGAGCAACAATTCATTGACCTTTCCTGCAAAACCTTAACGTAATAGAGGAGTAAATCCAGAAATTGTTGTCTTGCAGCACATTGCAGCTTTTCAGGAATGATGCCATCAGGGTGAAAAGAAATGTTTTGATAATACTAAGGATATTCTAACAAATACCATCATCAAAAGAGAAATCACTAAAACACATCTGGATTGGGGTGAAAAGCTGTTAATAAGGAGTGCCACAGCTAGCTATGAGCAGTTAAGGGCAAAAGAAAATGTTTAATCTATATTCCCTGGTCAGATTATTTTAGTGCGAACTTAAAGCTGAGCAGTCAAAGCGCCATGTCTGCACTGATGTAATGTTCTCGAAGAAAAAATGATGACCTGATGTAACACTGGATGATAGGAAGTGTAAAGGCTGCCCCAAGCTGCCAGCCCCACCGGGCGGTCACAGGGCGACGGAGCTAACCACCCTGAGCTGTTCTGTTTTAAAGGGTGCTAATCCAATTATCCTGGGGGTGACTGGAAGCCTAACGTGGCTGCAAATCTCCTCCCGTACTTCTGGAATTAGTGAACCCAATCTCACACTATCTGGCACCGTCCTCCTGAGACGATTTTCCCACCTCAGCAAAGCTTCCGCTGCCCTGCCGTGTCCAGCTTTCCAGGAAAAGGTGGCAGCCATGTTGTGAGCGGGGGCTGAGGGAGTGTAGTTTCAAGGCCGGTGAAAGCATTTGTAACCGAGGGATGGATGGATGGCAGTGGCTCATAACCTTGCCCATAACACTCTCCCTGAGGGGGCGCAAAGGAAGGTATCAGTCTATCTTCCCCCACCTTCTCCAAAGCCAGATGGAGAGAAAGTCCCAGACTTTGTTAATTATTCATCAGGTGAGGATGACTCACGGTGGATGAGCAGGGTTCAGAGGGAGGAAGAGGAGAAACTGAAGAGAAATATGGTGAGAAGTCCAGATCCACTTAAATCTTCCACGTTACATCACTGATGATTGCAAATAGACTAGGTCCCTTTTTATCAAAACATCCAGAAACTATGATACTTGAAGTGCACACCTGTGCAGTCGCCTCCAGGAAGGCGTTTCCGATTAAATGCAGAAACTTACTGAAGTCTGCTTTCAAGGTGAACTGGCCTGGTCAGACCTGAACATGTTGGTAGATATTTTTAATTTTGAGATATCCTTTTATTCCCAGTCAGACTGAAAATGTAATCATTTTCTCTCCAAAGGCTTCAGACAGTATTTTAGTGTGTTGTTCACTTTCACTTCAACAGTCAGAAGCACCAAACACCAGGTTAAAACAGGCCAGTTCCTGAGTAGATTGGGTCCCTAGATATTTCTCACCCACAACTAGTCTTTCTTATTACATTTTACAAAAAGACAGAAATTCTGTCTACTTTTAAGGCTAGGCTTAAATTTTCCTTTTTTGATCAAACTTATAGTTTATACTGAGCTTCTATATAGTTATGCTGCTATGGGCTTAGACTGCTGGAGGACATAGGGACCACTTTTTATCATTCCGCTTTGTTCTATCTCTATTCTCCCATTCTGCAGTATTTGCTAGTTCAACCCCTAACTTGAAAGTATGCTCTCTCTGCTTTTTCCCAACATAGTATCTTTACCTGGACTTTAGCTTTTTCGCTGTGACGCCATTTCGGAAAAAAAAAATCAGTCTGGCTCCTGCCCTGAACATCTTTGATTAAAGATGAAAGAAGTTGGCTCAGTGTAGTCCTTGTTCTCCTAAGCCTCTTTCCCACTGAAAATTCCATTAAACTGGGTTTTTCAAACATGTTGACCCGCTAACAATCAGCATTTGGCTCCCTTCCCATTTCCAAAAAGCTGGGTCTAACCCCTCGCTGGCAAGTTGTGTTGCCTCTGTCCCCATCAGAGATGGCAAAAGTACTCACTTTCCGTACTTGAGTAAAAGTACAGATACTTGTGTTAAAAATACTCTGGTAAAAGTGGAAGTACTGATTAAACTTCTTTACTCAAGTAAAAGTAACAAAGTACAGGCTTGTAAATTTACTTAAAGTATAAAAGTAAAAGTAGAAACCACTTTTTTCATGCCGTTGCCTACATTTTAAATGGATGTCTGCCAATAGGACTAGATCTCCGTTGTGTTCATTTTCAATCATCTCGTCGTCCATGCTGCTATGCTAACGCCACCGCCACCAAGCTGCAATGATTTGCCGCGAATGAATACCGCCGAATCTGTCGATTCATCTTGTAGTGGTGCGTCAAATGCAACGTAGATTCCCATCCAATTAGATTGAATTTGGTATTGATGACGTGAAAAATAATAACGGTAACTCCATTGAAATGATTCAAAAATAAAGTAACGAGCCAATTTTTTTAAATGTAAGGAGTAGAAAGTACAGATATTTGTGTAAAAATGTAAGGAGTAGAAGTAAAAAGTCGCCATAAAAATAAGTAGTAAAGTAAAGTAAAAATATTAGAAAAATCTACTACGAGTACAGTAAAGAAGTATTTGTACTTCGTTACTTCCCATCTCTGGTCCCCATGCATCATCAAGCTGGGTTAGCGTTGATGATGTCACCAGTTCTACAGAAATCAGGAAAGTAAACAATGAAGAGCAACATGTAAGGGAGCCAGGGTGTAGTCAGTGTGATTTATTGCTTCAATATAGTGTTCAATAGTTGTCAAAACACAGGTTTTTGACAACCATTCCTTCATTTTTTTTAAATTCAGCTAAATATTGAATAAAAACACTTTGTTGTATAGGCCTTAGTAGCTTTTATCTTAATGTTTTATAAATTGCTATTATATTATGGCTTTTCCTGGTTGGTCCACTTTTGGATTACAAAAAGTTTCACTCCCCTCAATCCTTATAATAATCTGAAATAAGGAAAGAGAACTGCAAAGAATTACATTTTGCAACTAAATAAACTACACTTTTCTTTAAATAACAAAAAATTCTCAAATAAAATTTAATTATTTTCAGTTTAATGATTTGCTGTGCAAAAGAATCCAAATA